AGCCTTGAAAAAGAAACGGATTTGGCCGACTTCATAAAGAAGATGGTCAATATTTTTTATGGATTTATGCACAGCTAATGAAATTAGAAAAGCCGCATTTGAATATGGTGAAGACTTAAACTTAAAACATAATTTTAATCAGTTTTAGAAAATTGCTTTACGTTACTGGTTTTTGTCTTTTACCTAGCAGAGAAGATCACGCCTTACGAAGTAACATCCTTATTGCGGAAGTAATTTAATAACGTTTAACGTTTTACTTATTAGTAAAGGGGAATCAGGATTTAGGTGTACTGATATTTACCCAATTAACCCCGACATGTTTTCTGAAGAAGATCTTCTGCCAGTCGAATTGCTCCAATCGGAGACTACTGCCATTCAAAAGCATGAGTCAGATGCAATTGATGACCCAGCACCAGGTCAAGGAAAATCTTTAAGAACTGCCACATCAATGCGTGTTGGTTCACTGCCGCCGCCACCGCCAACTTCTAGCGCAGTTGATTGTCCAGGCCCTGACTGCGACATCAGGCTGCGAGCTGGGATATGTTTGCGATTTGTGTTATGTTTGTTGATTTTTGTTTGATCCTCATTGTCCACAAAGTGACCACAATTACCCTTACCTCGGTGCAATTCGAGTGAAAACTGTTTTTTTTCTTTAACTCTTTTATTTACAAAACGTAATTATTAATGTAATGACAAATGATCTCAAATAATAGCCAAGTAAGTAGACTTTGTTATGAGGCGGTTGCAATAAAGATTAAAGATTGAAACAGATTTCAAGCTTTTTTATTACATCAATTTTCGATTAAGTGATCCCCATTACCCCTTTCTCCCCTACGTGAAACATGGAAACTCTGTTTTTGTCTACCGCGATAAAGTTATGAAACTGAAGATCTTGTTGTTTTATCCCACTTTTATTACCAGAAAAACTCGTCTGCAGTTTTTTTTTTATCGAGATATCTAGTAAATAAGTATGTACCTGTACAATATTTCGAGCCATCTCAACATAATATACTCTTTTTTAATTAATATTCATTCTCTTTTTTAAAAAATATTCATTTGATCGGTATTTCCTACTCGGAGAATTAAATGAAAAGTGTAGAAGTTTTTACCTGTATTTTGGGATACACAAAATGGTGGAGTTTAGACCTGGCCACTAGCTCAAATCTAGCGTACACTAATAAAAAAGTAATTAAAGTGCAATAAACATGTTATCTTTGTGGTTAGGAGGACTAGCACACGGTAAGAACTTTTAATTTTTCAATTCATGCATAACATTTTGTGCGACTCTATCGATGTCCCGTATAGGTAAATCAAGTCTTTTAATTTCTTTTTAAAGGTAATACCCCACTAAGGCACGTCTCACCTGGGGTTTTTGCTTTATAAGGCGGTTTTCAAGTAGGTATTTTCATTTTGAAATCTCGGTCTACAAGCCGAAGATATGAAGTGTTATAAAAATGCACGAGAGAGTTTCTTATATTTACACAAACACTACGAGTTATTTAATGAAACATTTGTAACGGATTTTATCGCATTTCATTTAAATGTCACTTTAACGCGATAAATACTGGACCGTGACCTTGAATTCTACGAAGTATTCGATATCGTGTAGGTACGCCTAATTACATATAAATAAAATAAAAAAAGAAACTGGAAATTTGAATCAAAATTCAACATGATAAACTTCACAAGACGAAAAATAAATAACGAAAGATTTGTTGGCCTAAAAATGTTTTCATTTTAAATAGAGACTCGGTAAAGAAAAAAATCTACTTCAAGTGCCCGAACAATGAGTGTGTCAATTTAATTCGATACAGGAAAAGTCTATTGATCGCCCACTTTACCAATAAAGACGGCCATGGCGGGAATCATCAGACTGTTCCAACTTTTCTCGAAGGCGCTCCTATATGTATAATATGATACCTATACAAATTATGGGCATGCCTATGATATAGAAATGCTTTTGCTTAACATAGGGTAATTTGAATGTTATCGAGACTTAAAACATGATTTAATTATGTTACTCTAATAGTTTCAGAGAGTAATTAAGGTAGTTGGACCTATGTATAACCATAAAGGCATATGCCTTATATTAGAGACGTTGCTATAGGTTAAATTGGAAAATATTAGACGTTGCTTTAAAAAGAACGGCTTTCATGTTACGAGTAATTCTAGTGCAAAGTAAAAGTAATAAAGTTAATGCCGTTCTTATTATACAGTTGGCAACGCCGCTAAAACCCCACAGGCGTTGCAGATATTTTGCATGGTTGTAATCACGTTGTGCCTTCATGTTATGATCAAGTTGTGCCTACTCGCTTACCACCTTATCACATAAAAAAATTAATAAATTTTTTTCTCCAGCATTCGTTTCTCACACGGGACAAGCAGTCGTAAGTCCGTTTTTAGGTTTAAAAAAAATAGTCAAAACAGATAACAACATGTTCAATATGTTGTACTCATCTACAGATAGGATAAGGGCAGGAAAAATAAGAGGCCTACAGCTGTCGTGAAAAAAATTTGGGTAGGTTTATTTCTCCGTATACACATATAAAAATTTGGGTAGGTTTATTAACAATAAATAAAATATCCATGATAAATAATACACATCGAAATATGCGTGTAAAAAATTATTCAAAGACATCGGTCCTAACATTCCAATAGATTAATGATTCTACATTAAATACGTATTAACGCCAACGCCATTTTCTTGTTTTCCAATTCTATTTTGAAAAATTTAAATAGCCTTTACACAGGCCAACGAATTTTAATGTCACGATTAAATTAATATTCATTTTCAATCAAGTGTCAAGATCAATATCAAGGCCTTTAGACCACCTGCATTCATCCGTATCGACGCATAGCATAAATCTTAAATCAACTAAAGTATTAACAATGTCAACCGAACAAGGCTACATCGAAGTGTATGAATGATATGTATAATATAATTGCAATGTCAATTTGTCATAATCAACTTTCGCGATTGAGTACAAACGTATGAATACAGTAAGATAATAAAAAGACTTAATAAGATTTATCTTAGAGCAGATTTCAAAGAAAATTCATGATATTATTTATTTATCAATTTGATGAATGTCAACACAGTAAACGCTAATACAATGCAATTGCTTGAAATATCTTCCACAGTAGCTAAGTGTTAACATAGATTAAGCTGTTTACTAATAAATTGGACTAATTCTATATAATTATTTGGATCTCTGATTGGCCCAAAGTAAATATTTATGGTTGGTATTATTAAAGTACATGTGTTGTCATCGTAAGCTCATTTGATGACATCCCTAGAATAGTAAAAAAATCTTTTCATTGTTTACAAGTCTATCTAAGTATTTATCGAACAGTGATTATGATGATTGATGAGGTTTTAGAATTATACAGGTTCATTCAATAATTCAATTCCTTCTAAAAGTGTTTCCCACTTACCAAATATAGTAGGTACCAATGAAACATCAACAATTATGGCATTGAATGAAAGAAAATCATCGAGCATCAGCCATTTTAAAATCACACAACATTTAAGATAAAATGTACCCGTCACGAGCGTGTGCTATAATTATTAATATGTTGCAAAAAAGTAGTCTGTCATTTTGTCGACAAATACATCACCCATATAAGTGTGTGGGTAGTATATTTAAAATATGTCTAACAACAGGATCGTGAAGGTCACTGTCAGCTTGCAAGGACAGCTTTTTTAAGGTCCGCAAATTTTTTTGCGGACCTTAAAATTTTATTGGCAAAATCACTGACGTATCAGTGGAGCCATAGTAGGAAAAAAATAGAATAAGGTCCGCCAAGCAAAGCCAAACAAACACATGGCGTTTTTAGTTGTTTCGGCGTATTTAAAAAGTTTTGTGCGTTTGAAATATACGTGTCTAGATTGTACAAATAATTTATCTGGTAGCCGCAATAGATTTCAAAAGTTCTATCTAATTGAATCGTACAATTCATACATTCTACAATTCATAGATTCTTTAATACTTCTGAAGTATAATATACTCCTTAGTACGTAGTAGTAGTAATAGTATTTTTTTAAAAGGTATAGGGAAATTAATAAAAATAATCATACATAGTTTGTCATAATTTTATTACAGTCGTTTCCCATATGTGAACAGCCATAAATAATATGTATGACGGCATTCGCTAACTTTGTAAGGCATAGTGACAATGAATGTAGACAATGTCATAACAGATTAAAAATAATCCACAATAAATTAACGAACTGTGTAATAACCTGTATCAACTAAGAGGATTAAAAATGATTGCCAAAATTATCGTACCAATATATTGGTACGTTCAAAGTAAAAAATATTTTTTTCTTTAATTAACTATATATTTCGGCAGTAAAATTTATAAATAATTGCCCGTAAGGTGTTATTCGTCAAAATTCTTTTACATAGATTAAATGTCCTAACTTCAAAATATAACATTTTGTCAAGGAAAACTGCTGAACGTTTTTTATTTGAATGGAATAAATTTTTGTATGTATATAGATTTATTGTATTTGGGAGCATATTTATTTTTCTAGACACAAAATTCATGTGTCCCTCTTTATCTCGCTACATTAAGGGCTTGTAATATAAAAATTCATCAGAGTACAAAATTGACACTCAAGCGATAGCATATCGAGAAATATAGTATTCATAGCATCGTTATTCACTTGGTAATTGCAAACGCCTACCGACAATACTAAGTTGCCAAACGCAGTCCAAATGGATCTTTTATTATTATTTATTATTATCTTTTTCGCCTCAATCAGCGTTCGATTTAACTTCAATAACGTATTTTCTTAAAGGTATACGTTTTAGTTAACTAAACGTAACGTGTCCTGGCTTTATAATCATCGTAGTTTACTATCTCGTTTCAAATATTCGAATGTAGTGATACTGTTAGGCAGTAATATAAACGAGGGAGTGACGTCTTTGCGTCCAGCGATGTACCTGCACGAAGCGGTGAAATAGAAACAATCGCTTCGATCAGTCTTGGTTTTAGTTCTCGTCGTAGAGCGGCGTCGCGTCGCCGAGGGACATCGAGCGCGGCGATGTGTTGGTGTGCGGCGTGGAGCGGACGGAATGCGATCGCGACGAGCGCCCCGAGCTGTGGCTGTGGCTGTGGCTGTGGCTGTGGCTGCGGTCGTGGCCATGGCCGTGGCCATGGCCGTGGCCGTGGCCGTGGCCGTGGGAGCGTGACTCGTGTCGCGGGGTGCGGGACTCGTGTCGCGGCGTGCGCGAGTCGTGGCGCGGCGTGCGCGAGTCGTGACGCGGCGTGCGCGCGTCGTGTCGCGGCGTGGACATGCCCTCGCTGCTGCGCGGCGTGGCGGGCGTCTCGCGGCCGGACCTGTGGCGCACCCAGTCCTCGGCCGCCTTCTGCCAGTCGGAGGGCTCCGCGTAGAGCGGCACCTGCACGGGCTTGTGGCGCGGCACGGCCGGCGCGAGGAAGTCCGGCTGGCGGGGCGTGGCCGCGAACGGCGTCATGTACGGCGTCTGGGCGGAGGGCGTGTACGGCGTGTTGATGTAGCCCGCCGGGCCGGGCGTGTGCGCGGGCGTGTGGAAGGCGGGCGTGTGCGCGGCCGGCGTGTGGTACATGGCGGAGGCGAGGCCGTGCGGGGTGCGCGCCGCGGGCGTGCGCTGCGCCGGCGTGCCCGACGGCGGCGGGTCGCGGAAGTGCTCCTTGAACCACTTGAGCAGCCCGCCCAGCGAGTCGAACATCCGCTGCCGGAACTTGTACCCGTCGGGCGTCACCGATATGTACTCGTGCGTGCAGCGCGTGCGCGGCAGGTAAGAGAGCAGGAAGCGCCCCGGGTGGTTCTTCGCGGCGGACATCACGTAGTGTATCTTGTTCGGGTTCTTCGACTTCTCCTCCTTGAGCCACTCCTCGGCCTTGTCCCTCATGCCGCCGAGCGGCTTGTAGTACTTGTAGGAGATCAGGTCGCGGGCGTGCCCCGCCATAGGGGTCACGTGACGCGCGATAATTTCGTCCAAGTCCTCGAACTCCGAGCCCTGAATCCAGAGACTTCGACCTAAAAATAAAACACAAAAATGTTATAACTGAAACAATTATCATTGATTCGGTTATAACATCATATCCAGCTACATAAATATTTCAATTTAAAAAAGTTCTTCCAAAGAACATACCCAGTGAGAAAGCATTTTCTTTACCCTCCTCCCTCACATCGATATGCTGACAAATGCCTTCGGCTACTTTCCACGTGACTGTTAAATGGTCTGAACCCTGCAAACATAATTACAATTTTCTAGGAAATTTCACTTATAATGTAATTAAGAAACGCATTTAGTGAGAATTTAAAAAAAAAAACAACTATCATTACAACGCTCGTACTTTATAAATACAATAGTTCAGTTATACGATAGAATAATTATAGAAATAATTAACATTACCTTACTGCTAGGCCGTACAATAACTTCTCCTTGAGCCATATTCTCCATAAGCTTTTCAGCTTCGGCGAACGAGATATTTTGGAATGCCGGATGGACAATAACACGTTTAACGTACTGCATACGCTCCTTGGTTTGCTTGGCTTCTTTGTCCTTGCGCACATCTTTATCCTCAGTTTCTTGGTCATAGTAAGGGTCTTTCGGCGGTCTAAAAGAAAAGTCGAGTTTATTACTCCCCTTGAAAAAATTATTTAGTTTAAAGTAAAAAAGACATCTGACATTTTATTTTTTACAATAAGAGTTTTAGACCTATTTAGGAATGTTGGTCCTTCGAACTGGATTTTGTTATAGTATACGTACCTCCATTCATTATTTTTATCCAATAAGTCCGACGATTTCGATGTGCAGTCGACGGAAAACCTCTCAACGTCTATCTTTAACACACGGCAGTGTACAGTCTGACCTATCCGCACTCGTTCAGTCGGATCGGTGACATGCCGGTCCGATAGGTTTTTTATGTGAATATAACCGGATACGCCATTATCTAGTCTTATCCGGACACCGGTCGCTTGTCCGGGACACGCACCCGCGTCGAAGTGATTCCATACCTGACATAACCAAAATTCTATTGCATAAACATCTCACAAAGCAAATAATACCGGCATAAATTAAAAGGAGATTAAATCGAAAACAATACAATTTTCAACTAATAATTTTCGAGATTTAACTTCAAAAATGGTGTTTATTAAGTTTTTACCTCAGACAATTCCGGGAAGTCGTTCTTGTGACAGAAGGGACACTCCCATAGCCCAGTCTCATCGTTCCTGACGGGATTCGCCTGGTCCAGCATCTCTCTTTGTGGCTTTCTGTGGGTTATACCTACGACCGTCGCCAGCACCATCTTGCCCACGAAAAAGCTCTCCGGGGTCTCTTTGGTCAACATGTCGAACAACTCTTCGGCGGTTGGCGACCGATACGGAACCCTGAAGTCCTTGTACCTAGAGTTCAATTCCGCCCGTATGTCGTACAACGTTATGCTCTTGTTTCCGAACCCCTGCCGCTCTAGCTCCTCGGCGAACGCGTCGAGATCCAAATCCTTGAGCCTTTCTGGCGCCTCTAGAATCTCTTCCAAAGCGCCCGCCGGATTCATATCCTCGTCCTCGTATTCCAAAGCGTCCACCGCCATCTTTCGGGCCCACTCGTACGTCTCGGGATGCACTCTAGACCCATCGAGGACCTCGATGTATGCCTCCGTACTGTCGCCGAGGCTGCTCGTGTCGATCTTGATGAAGCCGGAACAGTTGATGAAGACCTTCGGCCCCATGTGGCACACCGTCACTAGCTGAGTGCGGTTCTCCAACTTCTGGTTGGTTTGCCTGAAGAGCTTTATCAGCGCTTGCGCCTTCCTAGGACCTAAGCCGCACACGAACTGAAGCAACTCCGTCCCGCGGCCCGTCAATATCGCCTCGTTCACGTCAACGCCCACTTCGTTGATGCGGTTCACGAATTCGAGCTCGATGCCGTCGAGCAACTCCTCCTTGCTGATCTGGTCTTGCAGCGGGTGGTATCGGAGGCAGAGGATTTCCTCGTCTGGCCCGCACAGCTGGGAGATTTCCATGAGCGGATCTTGCAGGAGACGCCCCTGGCAAATGGCTTGACGCAGCATTTCGGGATATTCCCTAAAGTCGTTCTGTGAAAATTAATTATACATATATTACGATATTCCAAACACGATTACATTACACAAATTTCAACTTAAACATTCGAATATTTAAGCTCAATTTTATCTTATTTTTATGTTATAAGATTTCCGAGTTATTTAATTGAACAGAAATCTATTATATTTATCAAATTCATTTAATGTCTTTTTCGAAAACAGTACAGCGCAGGGGATAAAATTATTAGTTATTTTTCTTTTCTTGCGCTAAAGAAGTATAACTTCTTACGTGCGTACAGAAGTAAACACATACATTTTTATTTATATAAATGATGACTGGGCGTACTTTATTAATGGATTCGCGAGTCAAGCTCATTTTTCTCACAGATGTGTCCGTATGTCCGCACAAAAGAATCTTACTGGACGATGGTGATTGTTACGTAAATATATACTCAAGTGTATAAAATATATATTCACCCGTCCCCGTATGCTGTTGCTGTAAATCTTGCTTATGTGGTTGTCGGCGATCTCGATGGGGATGCGGGGAAACTGTTCGTCCTCCACCAGCCTCTGTATGCAGTCCGATATGTCGGCCTTCACGTTCAGCGCCTCGCGGGACTCGCCGCCGATGACCACCACGTGGGGCTTCTTGCGCTGTATGAACCTGGAGACGATTATTTTTATTTTCGTATAACAATCTTATTGTGTCAATTTTCCTCGTGCGTGGAGTCCCGCGTGATCGTAATCAAAAGAAGGGTCGGATTAAATTCCCCATAGATTAGATTTCAATAGATTAATGGTGATAATGAATTCCAAATATATTAAAATATGTAGAAAAAGTGCGAAAAGTTTGTCGCCGCTGTGGGAATCGAACCCACGTCTTCGGCATTCGCGGCCTGACGCTCTAGCCACTGAGCTAAACGGCTGATTGCCACAGCGACGAAAATCTTATTTAAATCAATTTATAACACGCGTAGTTCACTCATGAGAGTAGACGCAAAAGTTGATAGTTTCATTCTTGTCTTCTGTAAGCCAGCCTGTTCATGCCACTGCTTAAGCTAACGTCTATACAAATCAGTTGAATATATATTCATTTCATGTAAACGAATGACTTCTGCACTAACGTTTACAACACCGATGAGTGTAAAACGATTTAAAAAAAAACACAAACACACACACACACAAAGCCCTTGGGTGTAACAGATCTCCATGTGCGGCGGTATTCACTTAACAACAGGTGAACCATCTGCTCGCTTGGCAACTTTTCACATCGCCTCTGATTTAAAACCATTTTCTATCTCGCTCGCACGCCGTGTCGGCGTAGAGCTAAGTGTGGGGCGCTCACCGCCTGATGGCCGTCATGTCGGCCTCCTTGCTGTGGCGCTCCGCCGCGTCCCATGCGTTGCGGCGGCACATGAGGTGCGGCAGCCGCAGGTGGTCCACCACCTCGCCGCCGCCGCCCACCACGCACGCGAACGCGCACTGCTGCCGCTCCGGCACGTACGCCACCGACATCACGCGCAGCCCTGCCGACACGCAGCTCTATGTAGGTGCCGTGATAGCATGCACGCGACGTCATCGCAGCTCTATGGTAGTGCCGCCGTAGCATGCACGCGACGTCATCGTAGCTCTATGGTAGTGCCGCCGTAGCATGCACGCGACGTCATCGCAGCTCTATGTTAGTGCCGCCGTAGCATGCACGCGACGTCATCGCAGCTCTATATGCGTGTCACCATAGCATGCACTCGACGTCATCGGAATATTTTTTTTTATTATATCGAAAATATGAAACATCTCACGTTTTCCTTCACCGCGGAGCACGTGATAAGTCAGCACTTGCACGGCTCGATAATCGGTATCAATTTATACATTAATAATAATTTTATTTAATTAGAGATAAAAATGTTACCGTTTGACGTGTCCCATTCTTCGTCGTCGTCATCGGAAACTCTGGATTCGTAAGGGGCCACTTTTAACCAATCGTATAGACGGCGTCGACAACTCCTAAAAATGCGTAAAAATATAGTTAACGAAATAAATATATATCTGGTATACAACTGCAACCCCACAGGTATTGCAGGATGCTTGGTCTTGAAAATGTATGGTTAAATATAATATGAGTTCTATTAAACGATAACTATATTTTTTTAATGCTAACTTCATTGAGATTCATTAAAAGTGTATGCGCTCCACGGACATAACAAAACCAATTCAACAAAAACCTACTTGTTGTTACCTACAAAACAGTGACTCTCCAACTAGCCACAAACATTTAAGAATACTAAAAATAACCATAATGTTAAAACTATAAATAGTAAGAAAACTTAATTTAGTACATTTGATTTCCTTTTCTCCCTTTACTTTGTAACCTCTTTGTGGGTTACAACAGATAAGCTTTCTCACGTCGGTACAGTACTCCACTGAGAAGGGAGGCACAGGCATGGATGCCAAATTAGGATTTTTGTTCCTAAATATAGGATGAAAAATTTTACAATGGAAATTTTGGTCAGAATTTAGTGATTTTTTGTGGATTTTAGCGGGTTTTTGAATTGCTTTAGGAGTACTTTTTTCGAGCAGCTGGTAACACTGGGTACAGGCCAACCTGAGCACGAACTCCTTGGCCTCCTGCAGCAGCACCGCGTGGAGCTCCCTGCGCAGCTCCGGCATCACGATCTTGGTGAGCGCCAGGTCCACCGCCTCCGCGCGCAGCTCGTTCCACGCCTGCACCGTCGCCGCGAACTCGTCCTGCAACCGGCGAACCGTAAAATCCCCTCAGTGCTATGGCCTCAAACCGTACATTCCCTCAGTGCCATGGTCTCGAACCGTACATTCCCCTCATTGCCATGGACTCGAATCTTACATTCCCCTCATTGCCATGGACTCGAATCGTACATTCCCTCAGTGCCATGGTTTCGAACCATACTTTCCCCAGTGTCATGGACTCGAACCAAACATTCCCCTTAGCGTTATGGCCTCGAACCATACATTCCCCTCAGTGCCATGGTCTCGAACCATACATTCACCCCCTCAGTGTCATGGTCTCGAACCATACATTCACCCCCTCAGTGTCATGGTCTCGAACATACATTCACCCCCTCAGTGTCATGGTCTCGAACCATACATTCACCCCCTCAGTGTCATGGTCTCGAACCATACATTCACCCCCTCAGTGTCATGGTCTCGAACCATACATTCACCCCCTCAGTGTCATGGTCTCGAACCATACATTCACCCCCTCAGTGGCACTAAAAGTAAAGTAACAGCCTATTTAGGTCCAACTCTTGCGCAAAGGCCTTCTCTGTACCGAGGCTACGGGAGACTTTTGGCATCCTGCAACGCACCAACCAAACGCCCGTCAGTGCCCTAATCTCCCGAAGGCACGGTGTTGCATACATCTCAGCAGAAGTCCTAAATTAGGGGGTGACTCGACTAATAGTAAGCATATACAGGGAGATTTTTTAAGAAGAAAATTTACACCCAAATTTAAACAGTAACAGAGAAATTTAAACAGTAAACAGTACCCAAATTTACACAGTAGATCCAGACTCGGTAGTATAATCGTTTATTGAAATAAAAGTCTAAGTTTTTTTTTCCAAAAATGCCATTCTTTTCCCTAAAAAACAGAACGTGTTGACAATGCGGTAGTCATTCATAAATACCTAAATTTTACTGTGCACGAACTTGTGCGCGTGATAGTTATGAATGATCGCGCGTAAAATAAATGAGTTCACGCACTTTTTGAGATAAGTTCAGATGAATGTAATTAATTACTTACGAGTGATTTTAAATATTTATCATTTTTTATATAACATTATTTATGTCTAGAATTTAATAAAAAAAATGGATACACTTAGAAAAACCACCCTGTATATGTCCCACTATGGTTGACTCTAATATTAATAATAATGTTAATACTTACTATATGTATAGAATCTTACACAGTAGAACATCAGACTTACCTTTTGATAGAGCTGTTTCAACTCCTCCAGATAGCTGGGGCTGGTGTTGCCCTCTATCTGCTCACTGATGCTCAACTCAATCAGACGGTCCTCAGCGGCCATTGTCAGCTTAAGAAACTGGTCGCCCGTGAGGTCGCGTACTGGTTTCTTTTTCAAATACTTCATGCTGTCAGTGCAGATCATAACACCAGCGTTACAATACTGTGCCATATTTGAAAATACAACTAGGTCGATCTGACGACACATACTAATATATTTTGTACGAGAGAGTTAAAATGTATTTATGAAATACATGATTGAAACTACAAAATCATTTCTTAGAACTTGTCAGCCAATGAAAAGCTACAAAAACACCGAGTTTATGGGCCTGTGAGCTTGGATTACATTGGGCAAAACTTTGTATATCACATTAGAATAATGTTGGACGGGTTATCTCATAATATTGTTAATTTTTTAAATGTTTTTAATGATTGAAAAACTTATACACTACACTGAATAATGTCATCTAAAGCCGCATAGCAAAATGTACCGTGAGAGCTAAACATAAAATATGGAAAATGGTTAACATTTGTAGAAAAAACGGACGAAATTTTTCGCTTCTGCAGAAATAGAACCCACGTCTTCCGGGATCACGCCCAGACTTCTGCGAGGTTGTTTTACTATCCCGGACCGACCTGCCCAGGGCAACAATGGAAACTGCTGCGTGTCCTACCACAATTAAAATTCCACATCGAACAAGAGATGTACGCCATTTGAAGATGAAACTTTTACATTAAGTCTAATCAGGGATTAGTATAAAAACGGTAAGTAACGGTAGTATAGAAAGATGGAATACCTGAAGCAGGCATGGCTCTCGTCGATTTCCTTGAGGCCGCGCGCGGTGGGCCGCACCGAGAGCGTAGCGCGCTCGCGTAGCGCGTCGCGTAGCGCGCCGCGTAGCAGCGGCTCGCGGGCCAACTGCACGCCGCACATGTACACTGCGCGCCGGACAACCTCGGCCGCTGAGCCGCTCGCCCCGCTCTACGAGCGAATATAGCAAACATAATACATTGCAGCACCAATTCCCAATCACTTAAGAACTTAATAAGCTTATTACCTACGCTACCCAACTGCGGATAGGCGGACTTCACAATGTTCGAAATATTTTTTTTTGTCATCGTTTCGAAAATATGCACGTCTCCTCACGATGTTTTCCTTTGCCGCTATTAGTATTTGAAAATTAGGGATGTCACACCGTTGCTATTAAGATGAAATTTTTACAACTTGCAGAGAACGAAAGTATCATCTCAGCGGCGAAAAACTGTCCGTTCATTTTTCTACCAATTAAAATAATATAACATTCTGATTTGTCAAATCATGAAAACGAATCTGGATAAAATTACCTCAGATTTTAACATTTTTTTAGTTTTTAAGATTGTAATATATCTATTTATAAGGCAGCTTTTGCTATTTGCAATTTAAACAGATTCTCAAAGGGACCCTTTGTGGATAGAAGATACTAACGTAGGGCGCGGCCGCCTCCAATGGCGGCACGGCCGGCTGCTCGACCTCGTGCCGCTGGTAATTGTCTCGAACGTTCTCGGCAAACTGCTCCGGCGTCAGACCGAACATCTTCACGAGTGGCTCTGCAAGAAAATTTCAGGACATTTCAGGACATATTTTACAGTCCATCTAGTCCCAAACTAAGCAAGGCTTGTACTATGGATACTAGGTAGTTACCTAGTATCTATACATGATAAACATACTTAAAAATACTTTTCTTTTGTCAATAAATACATATTATAGATATATAAACGCCCAGACACTGGACTAAGTTAGTCACCAAATAATCACTGGGGAGGAAAGCCGGCTCAAAAAAGCTTAAAAACACCTCGACCCCAGTCAGATAATAGCAAACAATCGAGCCGAGGTCCGGCCCTCTCGGGCAACCTCGGATCGGAATGCTTAACACTATTGAGTGGCAGTCGAGCCTAGTCTCACAACGCGTAATAATATTAACCGAGGTTCATTCAGGCTAGACACATCAAGTGGCACATCCAGCCCAAAAAACCAAGACCCCTAAGCGTGCACGGATACGCACCAATGCCAGCTTTCCGGCAGAGCTCGTAGGGTCCAGAGCGCACCGCGTACTTGACGTCGGCGGGGGGCGGGGCCTCCTCGGCCAAACTCGCTTCCACCGCGGCCGCCGCTTCTTCAGGCTCCTCACCATTCTTCTCAGCTTCCTCGCGTGCCGCTCTCCTGTTACATATACAGGGTGTCATTACAACCGCGAAAATAAATGAACACACGTCTAACGCTAATTGCCAATATTCATAAAAAATATCAACGTTAAAAACATCCATAATTAAAAAAAAAATTCAAACAAACTAAGTAAAAAAGAAACAAAATTTGTAACCAAAAATGTAACATCCTAAACAACCTACAACTGACTGATTCATACATTTAAAGACTTTTTCATTCGTTGCCACAGCGTCGCATTACAAGCCTCTCCTTCTAACAGTATTTGTTGTCTCTTTCAAATTCATCCAACCCATTCATATGCTTTGTGACTTTTACAAATGAATTTTACGTTACAGTTTTATACGTAAGGATGTTCTAAAATTCATTGTTTTGCAAAATGTAACAACTCGGTAAATATTGATATTTAAAGAATGTCAATGTTTAATATAATTTTAAAAATTTTTCCTCTATATGTGTGTTTATTTATTGTCACCATTGTGTAAAGACACGCTGTATATGTGGCTGCAGAGTGGAGTTGTGAGTGTGTCGCACACAGGAGGTTCAGACTCGGTAGTATAATCGTTTATTGAAATAAAAACAAACCTTTTTTTTTTTTTTTTTCAAATAAATTGCCATTCTGTTTCCTAAAAAACAGAACAATTCGGTAATCATTCATAAATACTTAAACGAACTTGTGTACGTGTTAGTTATGAAAGATCGCGTGTTAAATAAATGAGTTGTCCATAAATCACACTTTTTGAGAAAAGTTCAAATGAATGTAATTAATTAATTACGAGTGATTTTAAATATTTATCATTTTTATATAACATTGGAAAGAAACATTTTTTATAACATAATTTAATTAAAAAAATGGATACCCTTAGAAAAGCCTCCATAAAAAAATGAACACACATATAGAGGATAACTTTTTAAAATTGTATTAAACATTGACATTCTTTAACCATCAATATTTACCGAGTTACTAAATTTTACAAAACAAACATTTTTAGAACATCCTTACGTATAAAACTGTAACGTAAAGTTCATTTGTAAAGGTCACAAAGCATATGAATCGGTTGAATGAATTGAAAAGAGATAAAACATACTGTTAGATACACAATAGTAATAATTTATTTGCGAAATATATACATTGAGAAAAATATACATTGGGAATGATATCTAATATATAAAATTCTCGTTTCACGGTGTTAGTAATTGAACTCCTCTGAAAGGGCTCGACCGATTTTCGTGAAATTTCGTGTGCATATCGGCCAGGGAATCGGACAACATCTATTTTTCATCCCCCTAAATGTTAAGGGTGGTCCACCCCAAACATTTTTTCTACTCTATAAATAATTTATATAGCAAAACAATGTTTGCCGGGTCAGGTAGTACTATATACAGCTTGTCTTTATAATCGCGACAAAAAATGAACACACATATAGAGGATAAATTTTTAGAATTGTATTAAACATTTACATTCTTTAAGCATCAATATTTACAGAGTTATTAAATTTTCCAAAACAAAGAATTTTAGAACACCCTTACGTATAAAACTGTAACGTTAAAGTTCATTAATTTGTAAAGGTCACAAAACATATGAATGGGTTGAATGAATTTAAAAGAGACAAAACATACTGTTAGAAGGAGAGGCTTGTAATGTGACGCTGTGGCAACAAATGAAAAAGTCTCTGAATGTATGAATCAGTCAGTTGTAGTTGTATAGGATATTACAAATTTTGTTTCTTTTTTACTTAATTAGTTTGTTTGAAAAAGATTTTCTTTTAATTATAGATTTTTTTAACGTTAATATTTTTTATGATTATTGGCAAGTAGCGTTAGACGTGTGTTCATTTATTGTCGCGATGGTAACGACACGCTGTATATAATCATATATTTCGGAGTGTGCAAGTACTACACACAATTACAATTAATACATAATTTCATTATTGGGTACTCACTTTCTCTCCTCTAAATCCTTCTGCCTCTCTTTAGCCCGCTGCACCTTCTGCATCTCAGGCAAATCATTGGAGTAATACAGCAGGAAGTGAGTATGAACATCTCGGAGCTCCTCAGGAGTTTGTACGTTTTTCAACCTATTAAAGCAATTGCAAAATATTTTATCAATAAATTAAAGTGAACAAAATCTTTTACTAGGAATAAGCCATATTTAAATACAATATATTGTATTATTATTCTCCTCCTAGTTTCTTTTCACTCCTGACCATTTATGGCTTTTTGTCCCCAGTTAGTGCAGAAGGTGTCCTTCATACCTATGTTACTATTTTCAATTGATATTAAATTGTTTCAATTAACTTTTTGGTATTTCATGTAATTTAATTTCATATAATTTTTTTTTATTTACATGTATTTTAACATATGCCACTACTTTACATTTTTAATATTACATGGTATTTTATTTGTAAAATTTATTTCATTCACTTTTGGCTAATATTAAATACATTTAATGATAATATTTTAAACTTTATCATTGAAATGTTCAGCTTAATGACTCAGTGGAGCACATTGGATGTTGGAACATTTTGTGCCAACCACACCTAGGTGGGATACGGGCTGGAGGATAAGGATGATGATTATTTAAATGTTGAGCTTCAAATAAACGTATTTTATAACCTAGTTTTTATTTTATTTATTAGACCCGTGCGATATTTTCGCTCAGTTTGTGATTAGTCACCGGCAAACATAAGCTTTAAAATGGTTTTTAAATCGTTCAGTTTAATAAAAAAATATGGAAGTTATTGCTTATAGTTACCGAAAATAAACACCTTTGAGAAATATATATAGAGGTCACTTCTATAACCAAATATTTTTTAACAATTACCTCTCAATATCCTCATCCCTGACGAGGCGCATATTCTCCGGTATAGGCGCATCAGGATTTGCCATTACTTTATCTAATTGAAATTCTCGCATATTTTCCAACAATTTAAGAAGATTCTCTTTTCGCTGTTTCAGCTGACACCACTATCGATCGGAAAATTAAAACCATCATCAGATTCAATAAATATTGTTTATCAAATTTGTATTTCTATGTAGATAAGGTGCAAAAAAGAATAAAATAAGGTAGAAAAGATTTATCACAATTTCAAGAATCAGTATTTTATGATTTTATTATTAATTAATTGTATTAAAGATACACATTCTGTTAACTTATGATTTAATATACATTATAATGATGATACAAAATGTGTTAAACTCTATTCAAACTTGGATATTTATAGTTAATCATAAGTCATTGGTATACAAATGTGTAGGGCATCTATAGTCAATAACAAAAGCATGTTATCAATAGTTGTGTCATAATATGGTTCCTCACCTTGGCGTCATATTTATAGACCTTCCAAAGATCATTAATGCTAAGCTCGGGCTGGACATATTCCTTTCGGTAGAAAGCAATAAATGGAACTTCCAAAGTTTGATTTCGCATAAAATCTAGAGCTTGGCGAATTTTCACAACGGTACTTGAACCTCTAAAATAATAAGAAATATTTTTAAATTAAAACTTCACAAATGCTATAATAATGTTGTTACTAAAAGTTGATAGATGATAGTTGATAGATGACTCCGTGGCGCAGTTGCCAAGGTATTGGCTTCGGCGTCGGGGGTCTAAAAGTTCTATTGATACGGGATTTGTGTGACCCACAGAAAGCATCTTGTTTTCGTTCATGTTTTAAATCCTTTACAACTCAGGATAATATTATCCTAAAGTAAGGGCAGTGTTTTTAACTAAAAGAAAAAAAAAAGATGAGAAAGCACTTGATTTTCTTCATTAAATCCCAAATAATAATAGACTTTTCCAATATTACAGGTACACTTATTAAATTAACTAATGTAACACCTACCTTCTAGACCTTTCTCTCGCCTCTTGCGTGTCAGCCTTTGAGACAGGCGGCTTTAGGAATGCCTGCTTATATATCCATTCTGCCTCATCCTCTAATTCCGTGCTACCTTCCTCAACAGGTGTTATTGGCACCTCACGAATCTGCATTCTCTCAGGCACATCGGTTTTACGTATCTAAAAATATTGCATGCATATTAAAACTATATTCTAAGTTCATCTCATGATATTTGGATTATTTTAAATCATACAGATATGAGATAAGTAATTTGTATTTTCATAAACATTTAGTAAGCATTAATAGTTCAATTTATACGGTATATTAAATGTTACTTTGCTACTTTTAAAATGTATATGCACTTTTTTATTTTAATGTCAGACCTCATTATCCAAATCAGTGAAATGGCTTCTCTTCAATTCGCTGGGTTCATAAATTTCAAATATAGACTTTTTACTTGGCCGCTTGGCTTTGCCTTTCTTGGTTCTCCTTCTTTCTCCTTTAAAAAGTTTAACAACTAGTTAGGAAGCAGAAATTAACGAGATAACTTTATTGTACATTAAGATTACTTTATTGTACAATAAACTTTACACAGATTGTAACATCAATTAAATTTTAGGTAACCCATACCTTCCTCTTCTTCATCTTCAATGTACTCATCAAGATCTTCATCTTCTTCGTCTTCATAATCCTCCTCGCCGTATTTCTCAAATTCGTCATAATCAAAGTCCACGCCAAAAATGTCTTGACCCTCTTGTAGTGAACTGGAAACAACAGAAATTGATTAAAACTATCTTCACTACATATTATAAAACAAAAACGCCCCTTTCTCTCGATCTTGACGCAATATACGCAAAGAACAGTTACGTTTTTAACAATAAACTGATTCATAACGACGGTTCAGGTGTATAAATTGTTAAAGTTTTGTATAAATTGTTTGGCTAAATTATGATGACATTTGTGAAAAATGTCGGAAAAAATTATACCGCACTGTTAAAACTTAGTGGGTAAAAAGATAGAAGCTTCACTGCCCATGTAACGTAGGGGCGTGTCGCTAGTATATACTATAGCTACATCGTCAAGAGCATCAAGAATAATAATAAAATTTAATATAATGAAATACAAAATAAAACAGCTCTAATACTAACGCATCAGTGAATATGGGCTTTCGTTTCTTTTTACGTTCAGCTATTGGACGACCGTCATCATCGACAATGAAATCATCAGCGTCAGATTCCATATCCTCATTCTCGTCGTCATACTCGACTTCGCGGGGTGCAGCGGATTCTGAACGGTTCTCATCCTCCTGAAAATATAAGAGTTTACTTTATGTAAACTCGTCATTACAGCCTAGTCTAGCACTTAGAGTGATAAATACAGTATTGTGTTGACTGATTGAATGATGGACATGCCATGCTGCGAGGGAGTCGCGATCCAATCGGGAAAAAGCAATGCATTGGAATAATAATCAGTAAATACATGTGATGGATGTATAAATGTTTACTCTTTAGTGTGTATATGGAGAAGATAAATATTTTAAACAACAAGTATCCAATTATAAACTTCAGAAAAAAAAACAAAATTTTCACACAATACTTTGATCAATAACCAAATCGTAATATAACAATGTAACTTCGCTTTCTTATTTTCTTTGCTTTATCATTTATTTTTAAACAAAATGAGAACATTGACCTTATTTTATTTGTCTATTTTTCATCAATAGCAGCAAATATTAGCTTTAAAATGATGTTTAAAGCATTAAATTTGATGAAGTATGATTAAACTTATGGCATACCAATGAAAAACACCTTTGAGAAATATTATATAGAGATTGTTGTACTTATTCATAAAGGAAACATTATTGACGAAAGCACTATAATCTGTACTAACCTCATCTGAACCTCCAACAAAAAGCTTTTCGGCAATAACCTCTCGCTCCAAATCAGGATCATCAGCACCCTCATTATCACTGTCATCATCTTCCAAGCGTCTCAAACGCTTGAACTTATTCTGAAATCCATTTTGATTTGAACAAATTGCAAACAATTTACAAGAAGCTTGCTTCACTTTAAGAGAATGATATTTATTTTTTAATCATATTTCAACTGTTACTTCTCAAAAGAATGCAATTAATAAATAATTCACTTACTCTAGCCACTTTAACTCCAAGATTCTCCTCAATGAGATCATAATCTTCATCTTCTAATCTGTCATCCAACTCATCATCACTTTTCTTTCTTTTCTTTGGTCCAACACTAGCATCTGAGTCCTCTCCATCACTCCCTGACTCCTCAATAGGAGCATCATCAATTAGATCTTTTAATTCTTCTCGAAGGCGTTCCTCATCATCTTAAATAAATGCATTTATTTAATAAAACTTGTCTTATTGTAAAATACACAAGACAGACATTAAAATCACTTTTAGTGTATTTTTACTGCAAAATGCAAACCACAACATAAATTGATAAAACTAACGGCAAGATTATAATTAATATTATTGCCTAAAGTCTACGTGTAACATTTATATAGTAAACTTAAACAAATGAAGCCACATCAATAAATTAACCAAATGTTTTCCTGATATTAATTAATAACCTAAAAATTATGTTTTTAAAATTCCAAGGTTATGAAGATTACATTCTCCTAGAATAAACTTTCTAGACTATGTATGCAAACAAAGTTTACTGACACATAACTGACGGCACGTAAATCAATCTACAACTCCTGTAATTAGCACAAACCTTCTTCTTCTTCATCTTCGTCATCGCTTTGTACAGCAGCCTTGCGCTTCGGCTTTTTACGTTCTGCGGGTTGCTGATCATCTTCAGATTCAACCTAAATAGATATACAAATAGATTCAGCTCTAAAAATAAGATAACCGTGGCAGTAAACACTAATAAACTAAGTTTGCATAAAGCTACTTTACAAAAACACTAACCTCGCTCTCCTCTGCCTCGGATTCCAAAAAATCAGCCATTTTTGTTTAATAAACAAAGTAATTAATCCGTTGACTTAAAAATAATCTACTAAAAACTATTATTCACACAAATTAATACCTAAAATAAAATAATGATTACGAATATAAATCAGTGAACACTGTAATAGACAATATTAGACAGGTCGTATCTTTTTTTTTTACTTCCATTCTCCAAGCAAAGGAAATCTAATAGTGCTCTCACCAAGAAATCGATTTTGCTTTAACTTCGACTGAAATCTAAGAAAAGTACTTTTGAAGTAAAGGATAAAAGTTTACTTACATTAATTTATAGATTTTATTGTTGTCTTGTTTTATTGTTACCATTTATTTATATACATTTATTATAAAATTTCTTTTTAAAGAGAGTTTAATGCGTTCTGAACTAATAAAAATAAGAACAGATTTTCTATATTTATTTTGTATCAAAAAGATTTAACTATTGACAATATGTTCCAATTACCAATTCATAACTCACCATCGATTGGTACGTAGCCACTGGCACGCCAGCGCCACGCGTTATCAAATCGGTGTCAGGCGCCAGCGTCAGCGCAACCATTTAAGGTCTCGTTCAGTCTTCGAAGGTTTAAAGTTCATAACGAAAACTGAACTTAATAAAAACATTTATTTGTCTAAAACCCTTTAAAAATACGTAAACAATTATATGCATTAAAAATTTGTAGCTACTCCCCGCTAGATAACATGCGAAAAGTACGAAAAGATTGTCATAAACGAAAATACGTAAACGCATTAAAATTTGTAGTAGAAAAAGTGCTGTGAGAAAACAAACAATTATATGTATGCATTTCACAAAAAAACTGTTTTGTGGTATTTCCTCAGCAGAAACTACGTAAGATGAATCCAATATATTCATCTTACGTAGTTTCTGCTGAGCTTTAGAATGTATTCAAACCTAATGGTTTTATTCAATAAAATTTGAATAATCGCTTTTGATGCGATTTTGATATTAAATTTTTATATCAATATATCAGATCAATGTCAATATTATATAATGTTGATATGTCAATATTTTGTCGGCATCCCTACCCTATATCCATCCATCATTTGGCCTATAGGTCCTTGATACCGGGCCATAAAAATAAAATCCAAAAAAAAAAACCTTCCATCATTCATTTGACTTTGAAAACTTTGAATGATATCGAGTAAACAAACACAATTAGTGTGACGAATTAACAAAAACAAAATGAGCGTAGGACCGCCAATTGTAAAAAATGTTCTCCACGTTGGACAAAAATATGTTCCAATCGCTAACGGCAGTAAGGTATAATTATTCTATATATTATATAAACGAATATTTTCTGCCCTATCTAAACAAATTGCGTGATAGTGTTTTGTTTATGACTAGTATTTTAAATAATAATTACAGGTTCATTTTCATTTCCAAACATGGAAACTCGGTAAAGAGAGAGTCTTAATAGATGACAGTAAAAAAATTGGCAAAAGAGAACCCATGGTCTTAGTCATAGGCCATAAATTCAAACTGGAGGTATGGGAAACCATTGTTAAAATAATGGCTGTAGGTGAGGTTGCTAGTTTTCGAGTCAAAAAAGAGGTATTTAAAAACATTTATTACTTTCTTTTACTACACAAACATCAAATTTTCCTTTGCTTATCAATATTACCTTATATTAGGTGGAGTCAGAACAACATGTGAATCATATTTTTAATGGTATTGGCATGGTCTTCCGCCGCCTGCCTGATGTTAATCTTCCATATAAAAGGCAAACACAAATACTTTGCTCAAGTGGGTATCAAACCCACAATAGATAAATAGATAAATATTTTAGGACACATTTTTTTACACAACATTCTCTAGTCCCAAACTAAGCAATGCTTGTACTATGGGTACTAGAAAACTAATAGACATACTTAAACATACTTTTCTTTTGTAAATAAATACACATTATACATATATAAACAACCAGACACTAGAAAAACACTATGCTCATCACACAATATTTTTCCAGTAGTGGGGATCGAACCCACACCCTCTGGCGCAGAAGGCAGGTACACTACCAACTACGCCATTCGGGTCGTCGAATCTTAGATACTAAAGCTAATAGCTTAGCCATTGGGTCATTAAGGTGTCCAGACATATTAAAAACCAAAAATTAAATTGGTCTTATTGATGATGTTGCTGTATTTTATAAAATTGCTTATATTTATATAAATGTATATAATATACATTTTATTTAAATTAACAATTTCCACAGCTAGTATACAGCTACCCATTTGTGTCAAAAACTTTACGTGAACTAGGTCAAGAACACAAAGTAAAACATACATGTACAATGACATTGCACACTGAAGGCATTGGATATTCAGATTTGGATGAATTAATCAGTAACCCCTGTGATCTGGAATTTATTTTAGGTAAAAAATTTATATATTCTGATTTTATTTGTAGTATAAAATTTATTTCATTGAAGCTTGAGAGGAATAAAAATATACCCCTGATGCACAATTAATGCAACAGAGAAAGTCTTCTCAGGGCAGGTCCATCCAGGGGAGCACCACAACCTACCAGAAGACTGGCGTGGAGTGATTGAGGTAGATGGGGCATTATTAAAAGGCAATGCATCTGCAACCCCATGCGTGTAACATATGTCAATGGGCGGTAGTTATCACTTAACACCAGCATTTTTGCCATCAGGTGAACTGCCAGCTTCTTTGCCACCTTCTTACATAAAAAAGAGCATATAATTTACATACAGGACATGCGTAAATATTATGCGGAAGTTTCGCATTTGAAAAATTCGTCTGTTATTTTTTATGAAGCATTTTTTCAAACTGAAAAGAAAAAGATTAATCATCTTTCAACACTATTGTTATATTGTTATTTAAAGATGATTGTCTATGCAGCATCTTATCTATTAGATACATATATCATTCTTATCTTAGTAAGTTAGGTACATAAATTATTTTCAAAGTTGTTTAAATATTAATGGTAAAATTAGTTAAATTCTAAATATTTTTATGTTAATGGCTTGCCCCATATTAGACATTTCATCAACTTTAAATTACCATTTGTTTTTGATAAAGCTGGCACTTCTTTATTTAGTTGCACGGACTGGAGATAGTTTGCATTATAAAAAACATAAAAAAAAAATTGCATCATAAATTTATATCAAAATTTATTATGTATTTCATTTTAATGGTATGGAATGGAAAGAAAAATTTTCTATATATGTTCATAATTTAAAAATCCGAAAATAGAAATTAAAGATAAATTGTAACACTTTCAAGACATGCAGAAAATAATCTGATAATTTCACTATTACAACACAGGCTAAAAATGCAAGCTTCCGTACATTCCATGTTTCGTTTATATAAAACCCACTAACAGACACTGCAAGACTTACAAGTGATGTTTCTTTTTATTACAGAACTTATAAAAGTAGAGAGGTCAGATGAGTATGAGAAAGAAGTATGGCAACTTAGTACAAAAGAACGACTAGAACTGATTCCGTCACTTAAAGAAAAAGGCAATAAATTTTATTCTGAAAGACAATATGATAAGGCTGAAGAAACTTACAGTCAAGCAATAGCCATTTGTGAGCAGCTTATGCTAAGGTATTCCTTTTGCTTTAATTATGCATATTACAAGTGAATATACAACAATTACAGTTTATTAACAAAAAATAAAACTGATTACAATTACTATTTCACTCACATTTTCTATTTGATTTTGAAAAGTACCCTGATGTATATATGGAATCTAAGATCCAATACTAATACTAATAGTAATTAATATTGGAGCAAAACTGAACACATTCTGAGGTTTCATACATTTTAAAAAAATACAACCGAATTGAAAACCTCCCCTTTTTTGAAGTCTATTGAAAATGAGGCCCAACCGAAAGTTATGTTTAAGTTATGTTTTCGCTGTTGAGTTTCAATTGTCATAAATTGTTTGTTTACCATTAATTGTGGTTACTATCTATATAAATAATAAAAAAGTAACTGATTGTTGTCTGTACATGGAAGATATTTGAGAAAAACTGTTGTTGGAGGCCATTGTCAACATAATAAAACCCAAAACATGACTCTTAAAGATTTTGTCTGTTTGTCTGTGCGTTTGTGCGCCTTAATCTCAGAAGCGAAAAACAAAATGGCTGCAACTTTCACTAATGCATTTTAATAAGCTTCATTTAACATTTAGTGTTAGTTTTACTAAAATCAGTTCATAAATAAAAGTTATATCAACTTAAAAACCACTTTGTGCAATACAATGTTATATAATTGCAGTTAAGTTGGATGAAACTATAGTTAACAGTATATGATTATTATATGTTTTTTATTCTGTTTTTAGTATTTGTTATTAGAGTGGCAACAGAAATGCATCGTCTGTTAAAATTTCGACTTATCACGATTTGTCTGGTGACAGAAATATCGACAGACAGCAGAGTCTTAGGAAAAGTGTGCCATTTTACTACCCTTTGGGTACAAAACCCAAAATTAAAAATGAACAATTTTGACATTTCCAATGTATGTTGACCTCAGAACTATGTCATCTGTCATAATACCGGGTTTTTCAAAAAGAACTTTGTTTTCTAACACAAAATAAAAACAAAGAGTTTAGATGAAGATGATTCAAATTTTTATTCGTCACGGATTTTGAGTTTTAAGGCCGCGATCGATTCGATTGGCTCCGTATAGACTCAGTCCTTAACATAGCCCCACAAAAAATAATGCAGTTGTGTTAAATCACACGATCTGGCTGGCCATTTAACAGCTGAATTTCGTGAAATTATGCGATCGGGAAATTTGGTTTGCAATAAATTGATCGTTTCGTTGGCTGTGTGACATGTGGCACCGTCCTGTTGAAACCACATGTTTGTGATATCGATGTCATCAATAATGGGCCAAAATTGAGATGTTAACATCTCGCGATAGCGTGATCCATTGACCGTTACCGCTATTCCAGCCTCATCTTCGAAAAAAAACGGCCCAATCACGCCTCCAAACCACATAGCGCACCATACAGTGACACGTTGAGCATGCAAAGGCTTCTCAATAATCGCTTTAGGATTCTCAGAAGCCCAAATGCGGCAATTTTGCTTGTTGACGTACCCTGACAAGTGAAAATGGGCTTTGTCTGAAAAAATGATTTTTTCAGACAAAGACTGAGTGACAACTGAATGAATTGAGCGAATCTACGGCGATGTGAATGGTCGGTCAGCTTCAATTCCTGCACCAGTTGAACCTTGTAAGGCTTCAAAGCCAAATCCTTACGCAAAATTCGCCATGTGGCGGTTTTGGATAACCCCAATTTTTGAGAACGTCGAGGAATTGACAAATTTAGATCTTCTTCAACACTGTGGCTCACGGCTGCGATGTTTTCGGTTGAACGACCCGGTCGAACACGCGTTGGTGTTGGCACATTTTGTACCGAGCCTGTCGATTCAAATTTAGCGACCAAATTCTTAATAGCGGTCTCAGAAGGACGATTATGTTGTCCAAAAATATCACGAATTTTACGAAACTTAACTTTAACAGAACCACCATTTTCATAGTGGATTTTAATTATTTTAATGCGATTTTCGAGCGAAATTGAATTCATTGTAGCAATTGCCAAAGTATCTACTAGGAATAGGTCAAAAAACTAAATGTCAAAACTGTCATGTTGTTGGTGGTACCCCAATTGAAAAACAAAGTTCTTGTTGAAAAACTTTTTATATGTAATAAAACCTCAGCTGCAGCACATAAAATCGTAAACCATCATCTGGTGCGGCGGTGGGTCGAAATGCGCCCCAACGATATTTCTGTCAATTTGTGGCAGGTCTTTTGCGAAAACATGATGTGAACAATTTTTTTGTACTGTTTCTTTTTTTGTTTCACGGCGGTGAACCGCTTCAATATACATTTTCGCTCATCCTTCCATTCCACATCCTTAGAGCTATTAGCATTTTCTTATACATTTTTGCCCTCTTGAGCTAAAACTGATGATTGTGACCTAATAGTACTGCAGAATGCTTACTTAGATAGGTGCAGCCAACCAAATTCCAAAGCCCAAAGATTCTATGCTGTGGAGCCATTTCTACGCATTTGTTGCATTGTGAAATGCGTCTTGTTGGACTTATATAAACTCTATATAAACTCTATAGACTGTTAAAAACTCTCAATTAAACTACTTTTTCTTGTTACAGAGAGAGGAAGACTGATCCAGAATGGATAAACTTAAACAACATTAAACTGCCAATTTTACTTAATTATGCTCAGGTTAAACTTGTTCAAGGAAATTTTTATGCAGTTATTGAACATTGCAGCACAGTTCTAGAGTTTGATAAGGGTATGCAAATCCTTTTTCATTACCTAATCCTCTAGCAATTAACCGTGATGAGTTGTTACTACGTACTCATCATGGTAAGCGGTCTTTGTAACACCAGGTAGTTCCTATTACTACCCTCAAAGTCAGCAAAAACGTTGCTGTTTTACATATTCTACCGACTCAAAATGTAAAAATGAATTATGTAATTTGTGAAAATAAATAATAATAATAAGTAATTTATACATTTTCCTCATAGATAATTTCCACCGTATCATCATAATAATTTCAGCATTTCAACTCTGTTGCAGAACATAAGCAACCACTAGCGCCTATTGGCATCCCAAATTTTATTTGAGTCCATCACTGCTATAAACAAATTAAATTGTAATTGTTTTTGCTAAAATTAAATTGTATGCATTTTATTCATATATCATGAGCATCATCATTTCAACCTGTCCGAGTCCACTGCTGAACATTGGCCTCGCCTACCAACTGCTTTGTGGCATGATCCTGAACCACGTGCATCAATCAACCTCCTGCACAATTGCACAGTTCGTCCCTCCGTCTATAGGGGGTCATCCTACACTCGAGAATTTTTCTTCCCCATCTGTTATCGGTTCTATAAGCTATATGGCCAACCCATTTCCACTTAACTTTACCAATCTTCTGAGCTCTATCAGTTATTGCTGCGTATTCCTGTATAGGAATGGTGTGGTTTTAACATAGAGCGCTTCTTTGAGAACTTATTTGAGCATTTAAATATTTTTCATTTCATTTTCATAATTGTTTATATTTTGTTTGGAAGTGGAAGTTGATTTTTAAAACCATCAATATGAAACCAGCCTAACGCTAAGCAGTCTAGAACTTAGATGAAACCTAATCATAAAATGCAATAGCAAAAGCGAGACATCTAACGTTCAAATATTAATTGTAAAATATTATTTGAAAAGAGTAGGCGTGCTATAAACTAAACACACTAGATGGTGCCAAGCATTGCTAAAATGCAATAAAAGAAAGTAGATAGATAGTTGTCGAGATATTCACAGCGTGACGATTTCGGCCACTTAGTTTAATGATTAGAGCGTCTGGGCGCCTTACATGGAAGACGCTGGTTTCAATGGCACAATACCGAAATTTATTGACAAGTTATCAACAGAATATTCACAGTTGAAAAATGATTGATGAAATGAATTCTGTCCCTGAAATACAAAGGATTTTTATTAATTTTAAATGAACTCTTTTCACAGACAATGAAAAAGCTTTATATAGACGAGCAAAGGCCCATGTCGGAGCGTGGAACCCAGACCAAGCCGAAGAAGATTTCAAGCATCTAAAAGCTATTAATCCATCGTTTGCAACAGCCGTGGATAAAGAATTAGAGAACATTAAAAAAATGCGAAAGCAGAAATCACACCAGGATAAAGACGCTTTAAAAAATTTGTTTCCAAAAGAAAACGCAGGAATTTAGTATTTAAAATCCAACAAATTTTAATTGCAGTAACCTTATGACATGGATAAGTGATATTGGTTGTATTTTGTGCAACGGGTACATAACATAGAGGGGCGGTACACAATGCCTTCTGAGTCATTTTACTTAATGATGTGTCAAATACTCGAATGACGATTTATTATGTGAACTGTACAGCATTTTTACACGATTCATTAACTCGATTGTATCATTAAGCATATTTTGCCCCTCTTTGTTCTCGTTGTACTCGTCAATATAATTTTACAGATTATCAAATATAACTATAAAAATGTATAAAAGAGTGACATATACGTAGTTTAGTTATATAAATATTGCATTGGTTTATCAATGTTAACATTGTTTAATATTAAACGGCCGACCTCAGATATCGATTAGCGCTTGACAAAATTTAAATAATTAGTTTTGTCCAGTGGAGTCTTCTAAATAAGTCTATGACTGAAATTTGGTAATGAGCGATTTTAATGGTAGTTAACCGCTAGTTGAAATCTCTGAGTATGGATGTAAAGAGACAAAGTTTATTTAGAGTTATTGTTTCGTTTATACTTAATTTATCATTTTCATTTGTACTTAATTTAAACGTCCAAAAGTACAAGATATGTACCTACACTTTGAATCAAAGATCAAATTTTAATGCCTTAAAAAATATCTAGTCGATTCATGAATCGAAAAGCAAAATCACAATAATCTTCCCACAACCTACAGGCCGCAATACCAGTATGCCAAGAAAAAAATGTATTATCATTTAATTGTTGATAAATATTGTGTATAATATACAGGGAGGCTTTTCAAAGAGTATCCATTTTTGTAAATTAAATTCTAGACAAATAATGAATTATAAATGGCAATTTATAATTCATTAGCTTGAATAGTATGGCAATTTTTTTGAAAAAAAAAAGCTTGTTTTTATTTCAATAAACGGTTACACTACCGAGTCTCAACTTTCTGTGTAAATATGGGCATTTCTTGTAAATTCTCCCTGTATAGTCGTAATAAGTAATGAAATATTTCTAGGCTTTTTAGAACGAACATATTTTAATATTACAAAAAGTGAAGGGAAAGCACAGAAAAATATTTGCGTTCTGCATTGTTCTTGCTAAATAATTTTACCCCAGTTCTAACCAATTTACTTTTTTACGAGTACAATTTGCGTCACGATTAACGAGCGTTGTTTTAGTGGCGGGACTCTTACTCGCATGTGTACACTCGCGAACAGTGCCGGATTAACCACGTAGCAAGAGTAGCAAAACAGATCTTACAAAAACGGTTCTTCGATAGAGCCGAACATGATTCTAACCCTCTGGTGGTAAGCGCTGCAAATTACCAACTCAACATAAAAGCGTTAATAAGCGTCGTTCGCGAAACGTCCTCATCGACTTCGTTAGTCCTCGTCTACGAGCACGACGAAACCAGCATAACGCGTACACTAGGTTTTGCCCGCGTTCCAGAGAGGTTCTCACCGCCCCCAGCCGTCGATTTACCAAACACAGTCAATGGCCATCGGGATCACGGTCTGCACCGAACCTCGATAGCCCATAGGCGACACTCCTTAATTGACGCACGCACGAGCACATGCGCGGTCCTTCCCACTGTGGAGGGCCTCAAACACGTGGCCTCAAACGGCGTGGTCATCTAAGAGCCATCGAAGTTGCAGTGCGGACCGAGAACCCGATGGCCGTCGACTGTGTTTTAGCTAATCGGTGGCTGGGGGCGGTGAGAACCGCCCTGGAACGCGGGTGTACCTTGTGTACACGTTGTTTTGGTCTCGCCGTGCTCGGAGGCGAGGGCGAACTATTGTGTTTGTTGTTACACTAGCTGTGGGTGTAGTGTTATCCGGCGGTGGGTCCAACGTATCTAAGTCCCCTTCCTCGACCGGGTCGATTAGGATGTTCGCGGGCGACGCTTGTTGACGTTCGCGTTTGTGTCGGGTTGGTAATTTGCTGCGCTTACCACCAGAGGGTTGGGATGATGTTCAGCTCTATCGAAGAACCGTTTGGTCAGGTCTTTAAAATATTCGCGAATCGTCGGGAGTCTGCAATCGCTGTGCAGATCGACGTTGCGTTGATACCACTGTGCAACTTTGAAAACCTATGAAACGTCTTACTACTACTTACTAACATTACTAACGATTGGCCTTAAGATCAGAATTATCATAATATGAAATCTGTTTTTTATTAATACGGGTTTGTAAACACAATGTTTTAATTTATTTTCACATATGTATATTACGAAATAATATTTTTTAAACTAGCTATTGTTTTATTTGCTCTACCTTCTTACTCCAAAAGATTGGTGAGTCGTCGAGTTGTCCCAATATCTAAAATGTTGATAGCACTACCTATTATCTATATTACATTATTGGGAACTAATTTTGGCTCCGGCTTATAGGTTTCCAAATATTTTAAAACAATCTGAGCCGTGATAGCTCAGTGCCCGGGCGCTCCCTTTAATTCAATATAATCGAGCAACCTGGGTTCGATCACCGATGCCAGCACCAATGAAATTGTTAACTATGAGTATTGACTTTATCACGTGCTCAACAGTGAAGGAAAACATCGTATCGAGGAAACCTGCATATTTTCAAAATAACAAAAAAAAATGTTTCGAAGATATGTGAAGTTCGTCATCGCCAATCCGCAGTGGGGCCGCGTGGTGGACTATGCCCTGATATCCTCTGTAAAAAAGAGGAGGCCTTTGCCCAGCGGTGGGATATGTATAGACTGTTACTTTACTTTACAACAATCTGTACTTGTTAAATGTTTACTATAGTACGGCACTATCATAAACAAAGCTTCAAGGTTTTGACTTTGACAATTTTGACATTAGTAAGAAATAAATAACCTATAAAAATATTTATACAACACATAACTTGTGTATTGAAGTTTATTTTTATTTTTATTAGTAACATTATTGTTTCTTTATGATAAAATGACAGAAATCAGTGACATGAAAGAAAAAATGGAACCTTCCGAACTCACTGATTTGAGCGAAGAATATGCATATTTAGACCGAGGTGGTTTTTCATCGGAAAAGTTTAAAATCGAACTGCGTGGTCTTCCTAAGTATTATGGAATTGCAGTTAGTATAGTCTATAAAAAAGCAACAGATTTTAGTTGTACTAGAACTGGGTAGATTTGTGTTTGCTTATAAACATTTTGTAATGTAGCTTGTACAAGTGTATTATAAATCAGTTGATTACAACCAAACCAACCTAATTATTATAAAATTATTGCCAATTCTTGTCTACACGCAAATTACGTTATAAATGTTATTAAATACAACATGGAAAAGTCAACATAAGTTCATTTTATATGTTAGTGTCAGTGCTCGCTTTAAATTTTTCTTAATTATGGGCAGTTTATTTTAGGAATTGAAGAAATTAATGAATCAAAAGCTTGGTCTAAATACAAGTAAGATAAAACGTCCAAAAAATGGAAGTTTCTGGCTGTATGCTTGCTTTCAAAATGAAGAAGATAGAGTCAAAGCAATTGCTGCCCTCAATGGATTTTCTTGGAAAGGTAGAGTTAAACATTATCTATTTAAAGTTAGATGTTATAAGGAAACTCTGTATACATACCTATACTCTGTACTTATAGGTGTTGTGTTACTTGTCCTGACCTACCAAAGGCTGTCAGAAATAACAGCTTGTATACTAACAAGCTAATTATTAATAATGTCAAATAAAAGTTTAGTACAATCTTAGAATGGATAATTATTTCATATCAATTTTGTATCTGCATACATACCTAGTTATAATAAGTTTTATTTTTTCTTGGCGGGTAATCTTTATCAAATGACTACAAAAATTCACTTGATAATATTAAACAAATTCAAAAACAAAAGATATTTTATTTTTATAGGCAAAACTCTCATAGCGGAAGCTGCAAATCCCGCACCAGATCCACTTGTCAGAAAAAGAAAACAGGAAGAAGATGGAAGGGCTAGTGATAAAAAGATAAAAGATGATAATAAGAGTCAGGAAGAAAGACTAAAAGATGCTGCCACACCATATTGGAATATACCATATGATGAACAGGTGTTTTTTTACTGTTAATATACAACAAAACTGTTTTAAAAATAAAAATATTTTTATTTCTGCAATGCACTTGCAAAATATAATTTTAGCATTTGTTTTGCTTTTAGTTAAAACTTAAAGAGAAAGAAATAAGGCACATACTCATGAAGTATGATAATGAAGTGTGGAAAATCAATAAAGAAAGAAGAGATGAGATTGAGGCAAAGCAGAAGTTGCATAATGGGCTTAGTTTTGAACTTAAACCAATTGAGCCCTCACCAATAACTGAGGGATATAGAAACAAATGTGAATTCACCGTTGGCATTGATGAGGAAAGCAAGAAGCCCACTGTAGGCTTAAGGCTTGGGAGCTATGCGACTGGGACAGTAGCTGTTGCTCCCATAGAATCAATGAAACACATATCTGAGGAAATGAAAAAAGCTGTTTTGGTAAGCTAAACATGCAGTGTATGGTGCATTTTAATGTTACATTACTTGAGCTTTTAGTGTTTTAAAAAAGACAATTGCTAGACAAAATATATAAATTCATAAAAACAAAATTCTCAGTAATTTTCTTGTTTCAAAAATGGATTTTTGCCAGTAATTATTTTCACTTTCTATTATGGTACTGAACATTATTGTATTTTAAGTACATAAAATGAAAAATATTTTATTGAAATAAATAAAGAAAAAAATAAAGGTTTTACAATTATACATACTATCCCCCACTCTAGGTGCAGCCTGTCCTATGGGGGAAGTTAATGTTTTCCGCAATTTGGTGTTAGCGCATGAATAGTAAACACTATACTAACAATATTATTATAACAATTTAACCTATACAAGTGTCTGACCTCGGATATACAATAAACAAATTTATAAGAGTAGAAACAAAAATAGTTCAAAAATAATGATGAATATATTTCCATCAAATTTTCAGTAATGATTCTAATTGAATTACTGCATGTCACTAGTTTATTTAAACTTGTAAAAGACAAGGTTATTAGGCCTGTCAATATTTTGTTTTATAAAAGGTGGAGGTACAATTTTAAAACGAACTTTTGTGATTATTTTCAAATAAAATATCCATTTAAATTTATTTCATATATAGACATATAGGTACATAGATTTATATCCTCATATATACAAATCTTTACATGATCAAAGATCTTGTAACAATGATCTTTGCCAGAATATGAAGCAAAGTATTAATGATTAATATTAATTTTGTCTGTACTTTTACCTTGTCCTTTTATCATATACCATTTATTAGCTAAGAAAATAAATATTTTAGGTATTTCAAGAGTTTGTGCGAAAGTCAAACATGGCACCTTTTTCACCAGCCGATTACTCAGGTTACTGGCGGTATTTGACAGTAAGGCATTCCAAATTCAATGGTGATATCATGTTGATTATTGCATTGCACCCTCAGGTAAACATGTCTTATGCCAGTATGATACTAATAATTGTAGTCTTTAGTCACATAGAAGAGTAAATATTAATTTTCCATATTTCTCTATTTCTAGACTCTAACAGTTGAAGATTTGAAGAAATTAAAAACAGATCTAGTGGAACATTTTAGTTCGGAAGAATCAGTTTCATGTGGTATTCGTTCTTTATATTATTTATTAATTGCAAAGAGGTATGTAACAGTATAGTCAACAAAAACAGTTGTAACATTCTTATGAAACAAAATAACAATTTTTTACGCCATTTCAGGAGGCCAGGCGAGGATGCCTCTAAACCAGTACATTTAATGGGTTCGACCCACATCATTGACGTCATACTTGGAAGGCAATTTAGGATATCGCCCGAAGCCTTCTTTCAGGTTCTTTCTCGTTTTTATTTATTGATTAATTTATATTAAGTTATTCTTCTTTTGATGGTAAAAAAGTGAAGTAACTGCCTATAAAGATCCCACTGCTGGGTAAAGGACTCTATACTATGGGTATCAGGGCGTCGTCCCCACCACGCGACCTCACTACGATTGGCGGTCTTCACACAGCTCCTTAATATTTTTTTTGTTTTATTTCGAAATTAATACCGCTGAGCATGTGATAAGTCAGCACTTAAAATAAACAATTTCATTAGTGCTGGGGATCGAACTCAAGTGCCGTTTCAACGGACACTGAGCTATCAATGCTATATTACTGCGTTAGGTAAAAAAGTGAATTTTCACGGTATTCAAGGTTGCTTCGACGCCAGGGGTCGTTGGTTCGATTCTCACACGGGACAACTATTTGTGTGTACCGCAAATAATTGTTTCGGATCTGGGTGCTTCTCTAAGTGAAATTTATTTATAACTTCCTTTTAACACAGGATAATGTTATCCAATGGTGAGTGCAACGTTTAAAAAAAAAGAAATTAGAACCCCGTTCTTCCGACGAGTCTGCCCATCTACGCAACAGCACAGGCTGCTTGGTTGCTGCTGTTGGTTCTTAGCGGTGAAACGAATTCACGGTTTAATTTGCACGTTTGGATGTTCAATCTGGCAGTTGATTTCAGGTGAACACGGCGGGTGCTGAAATAATGTATCAGAAGGCGATCGAGCTGAGCCAGGCCTCCAGCGAGTCCACCTTGTTGGACATTTGCTGCGGTACAGGCACCATAGGCCTCTGCTTCGCTAAGGTATGCCACATTTCTATCATCACTCTGTCGAACATACTAAAAGAAGATAAGCGATTACCTGTCCTCAAATTTTTTTTAATTGTCTTTTATATTCATTTGTGGCGAGTGGAGTTTAATATTTATTTAATAAAAATTTGTTGAAAAATGGTCGAAGAGTATTTCGCCTCTGCGGGAATCGAACTCACATCTTTCGGGATCGCGCCAAGACAAATTTTAATAAAAGAGAACTATAATTATGCACGTGTATAGGCGTTCTAAGCCGTGATAGCTGAGTGTCCGGGCGCTCGCCTTTAATTCAATATATTCGAGCAGCTGGAGTTCGATCCCCGGTGCCGGCACCAATGAAATTGTTAATTTTAAGTGCTGACTTATCACGTGCTCAGCGGTGCAGGAAAACATCCTGCGGAAACCTGCATATTTTCGGAATAATAACAAAAAAATATATATTTCAAAGATATGTAAAGTTCACCAAACCGCATTGGGGCCGCGTGGTGGACTATGATACCCTCTGTACAGAGACTTTTGCCCAGCAGTGGGACATGTACGGGCTGTTACTTTATAGCGTGCTAACTTGTTTCTTACGTGAACACTGTTATTTTTGTTTATTTTAGGACACATTTTAACACATCTTACTCTAGTTCCAAACTAAGCAACGCTTGTTCTATGGGTACTAGGTAACTGATAAACATACTTTTCTTTCTTAAATAAATACATATGATATATATATAACATCGAGACAATAGAAAAACACTATGTCACCACACAATATTTTTCCAGTAGTGTGGCTCGAACCCTCTGGCGTAGGAGGCATTATTTCAAGCGCTCATGCAATTGTGCTCATACAAATGAGCTCATATAAATGAGTATACAAATACTCAATATGTTATTCGCAGCGTTTGTTGATCCACCGTGATGGGACCCTTTAATTGTACCACCGCACCGTTCTCTTGTGCTGTGCAGCACTGCGGCAGGGTGCTGGGGCTGGAGCTGGTGGCCGAGGCGGTGAGGGACGCGAGGTCGAACGCGGAACTGAACGGCATCGAGAACTGCGAGTTCTACGCCGGCAAGGCCGAGGAGATTCTGCCCTCGGTGCTGGCCAGGGCGGGCGGCGATCAGCTGGTGGCGGTCGTCGACCCCCCGCGCGCCGGGCTGCGTGAGTATCTCTCTCTCTCTCTCTCTTGCTCTCTATCTCTCTCTCTCTCTCTTTTTATATTAAAAATTGGCAAGAGAGCAACGCGGAGCGTTAAGTTATTGCCGCCGCCCGTGCGCATCTACGGCATTGGCTTGTAGATGCTTTGATTATCATTAACAATAAAAAGTGTGACCCGGCTACCTCACTCACCTGGCTAATAGCGAGAGTAGAATACGTCCAATTCACTCCGGTCTTCAATTAAACACTTCCTTGGACGAGTCTCCCTATTTCTGCAATACCAAAGCTGCTGCGTGGTCCTACCACAGTAGCACCACACGCTTTTCCCTCCCTCTCTCTCACTATCTTTTTCTCTCTCTATTGATGCGGGAAACTAACATACAGAATGTTTCGTCTAGAGTTATTTGTGGGAACGACGGAATAGTTCAAAATAACCTTTATTTAAAACAGTATATCAGCTAGTTATTTTTGTTAAAAGATTAATTGATACACAACACTGGAGCGGATGAATTGTATGACATTATTCATGTCGCAAATTTTAATGTGTCTCGATATCTCATCGTGCGGTTTTGTAGGAAGGCCTATTTCAAATAACATCATAAGATCCGTTATTTTAGTATATTTCCAGTAGCGATTGATTTGCAGTTATTTGGCGTTCTTATTGGTTGATATTCTTCAACTCCTTTAACGGTAACTGGTAGGCCCACGCAGCAGCCTCGGCTGTTGCACGAATGGGCAGGCTCGTTCGGGCAAGTATCACGACCTCACAGAAGACCGACGTAAAGTGGAAGTATAATACTTTCACATTTCGTCTGGTGATTGAGGTAGCCGGAGCCCAAATTTCAAAAGGTCAACACATCTGCAAACCCTCGAGTGTAGCAGATGTCCATGGGCACTGTTGTTCACCCATGTTAACTTAACATCAGCTGAACCACCGGCACGCTTGGCAACTTTTCACATTAAAAAAAAACTCCTATTGGCCGCTTATTGCAAAACAATTTCTACGAGTTATTTCGATGTTCACTGTTTTTTATTTGAAAAGAACAACGACTTAATTTGCGCAAGTTTTACGATATGGGAAAAATTACAAACTTAATGAATACTAGACAATCGCAATCATACAAATATAAATTTACACGAAATCAACACAATGCAATACAGTATTTATATATTCACATAGCCTTATGCATATTACAGAAAATGTATCATCATCATCATTTCAGCCTGTTTGAGTCCACTGCTGAACATAGGCCTCCCCCACAGACTGCCATGAAGTACGATCCTGAGCCACCTGCATAGGACTCTCCAGACCCTAAATAGGTAGGCCAATAACGGGCAGCAGCGTTATAGGTGCAAGGAGTCTGGAGGAACTGCGGTTGCCAACCCCCTTGCCAGGCGTGGCAATTATGGCAAAACCCCCCTACAGAATGGAAGTCCAGAAAATGTATAAGACCAAGAAAATAAAATGAATCTCTTTAGCCATCCACAGGATCGTTGTGCAAAATAATTCCAAGGCCCCATTGGCGCAGACATGCGGGCCATTACGCAGCTGCGCAACACGCAGAAGGTGAGGCGGCTGGTGTACATGTCGTGCAGCCCGGCGTCGGCCGTGAAGAACTTCGTGGACCTCTCCAGGGCCTCGTCGAAGACCCTGCGCGGCGCCCCCTTCACCCCGGTCTGCGCCATTCCCGTCGACATGTTCCCCCACACCAAGCACCTCGAGCTGGTCATCCTCTTCGAGAGGGAGAACGAGGTACCCACTAAAACGTCACTTTCTAACAAAAAGATGCTATTCGTAATTTTCGTAAAATTCGTAAAAAAATTTTCGTAAAATCCTTAAAATCGAATCCCATTTAGAAAACACAAAAAAGAGTACATTTTTAATTTTAAAAGTATTTCATTGCTACTATATTGAGAAAGTAGATTACATGTGTGTAAAAATACACAAATTGCATACTTATTCTGCATGTTTAATGTCAGGGTTGGTGTAAGTCCTTCAAGATTGATCCGGATCGAATTGACGATCGTAATTCAGCAATTGCATTAACCAAACATCAAAAAGGCCCACGATATTAACAGTCAGGTGTTTTAATTGTCATGTGATCACTGAACATCAGGTGAATCAAAAAAAATAAACAGTCATTGCTGTCACAACATCACTGCTGACAGAAATGAAAAATTGAAACTTGAACAAGTGGTTTTTTTTAATGAATTATGGTATGATTCATTAAAATCAAAAGTCATATATTTAAATCGTAAAATACGTGTTTTACTTCTGACAATTTAAATCAATAAACAAAAGTTTTGAATAATTAAAGTTTTTATCAATTTTTAAAGAGTTATAATTTTAAAATGCGCGACAAAAATGCTACCGAGCAACTAGAAATTTGTTTAACAGTAATCAATTATAAGAAAACCAAATGGTATAAAAATTTTAATGTCCATGGCAAAACACGGCGATACGCGAACCTATAAATTTTTACCCCATACAGAAATAACTGTTTTCAATGAAATTACAATTGAACATTAGTTCTGTTGTTTTTCTTTTGCTTGTTTATAAATTAATAATAAATCATATATTATCGTTATTTCTAGAACCATACCAGCAAAGAAGAGCCCGAAGTTGTGAAAGTTGAAGATAGTGTTGCTGTTAAGGCAGAAATTGAGTGCGATCAGAAATAGCTGAAGATGGATCGGATGAAATCGTGAAATAATAAGAGAAAATGTTATTTATAATTTGAATTTGCTAACGTTACTTTTCATTTGATGAAAGAAATATATGTATACATATTTTCGAAGTTTTCGTTTTGTATTCATTACATTCAACCCGTTTTCCAAGTCTTCACCTTATTCATAACTAAAAACATGTGTGCGGCCATCTCGATACGCACCAATCCTCCACTTCATGCCTCTTCTAGTGCAATTATCACCTCGTTTACTTTTAAATATCTTCTCACTTGATGTGATTCTTTCCACTTTAAGCTCCTCCACCAGAACTGTCCCGTCTAGCGCGCACAGCCCCTGTATATGCTGAATTTTGAAACACCCGGATCTGGAACAATTATCTGGTGGGTCACATAAATACTCCCGTGCTCGAATCGAACCCAAGATCTCCAGCACCGGAGCCAATGCTTTAGCACCTGCACGGTTTTTTTTTAAATAAAAAAACTGGGGTTTTTGAATTCGGGCACCTGACTCCTTAAGCGGGTTTGGTGAATCAATTGTTACTGTAGCGGAAAATTGAAGAAGGATATCCTGGCATATTGCCTGAAACGCTTAACAATGTGTTAGAGGAAGAACAGATTATATAACAACTGAATAGACCAGCTCTGGTCGTGCAAGTACCAATGCCTCGCAGAAGACCGTCGTGGAATCAGTATTCATAGTTTGCATTTCGCTGGATAAGTTGGGTAATCTAAGGAGCACTCTCTAGGTATTATTCATAACGCCAATAATATCTCTGATGAATAGAGGGCACTGATGATGAAATTTTTTTTGTAAATTATTTTTAAAATGCATTTCGTTATTTTTTTTATGTGAGAAAATGGCAAACGAGCTGGCGGTTCACCTGATGTTAAGTGATAAACGCCTGCCCATGGACATTTGCAACACCCGTAGGGTTGCAGATGCGTTGCCACCTCTTAATAAAGTGGGCTCCGGCTACCTCACTCACCAAACGAAACGCAGAAGTGCAACACTTCTTCTTTACGCCGGTCTTCTGTGAGGTCGTGGTACTAATCCAGACGGACCTGCCTGCCCATTCGTGCAACAGCGAACACTGTTACGTGGCCCTACCATCGCGAAAAGTAACAGGAAGTAACAGGTGATTAGCAAATCGTCTAACCTTTAATTACATATTTGATAAGTATATTATCAAAGCATAGAACCAAATTCGTGGGAGGGAAAACATTATCCTAAACATGTCACACATGTTAGTAAAACCTACTGAGTAGTTTTTAATATTTTCAATTCGCCCCTAGCTCGGTCGCTAGTACGTTCGTTATGGAGTAATAGCCAGAAATGTTTGTTTATTAAGCACCGAAGAACCCTATAAAATTATTATTCATAGAGAATCCTTACCTCTGCTATCTATGAATTAATGAAAAATCAAAAAAACATTATTTACTACAATACTGTTCCTTACGAAATCTTTGGAAAGGTAGAAAATACTAAACTTATTAAGTATTTCTTAATCCGATAAAGCATAATAACTTCACAGACTTCCAAAACAACCATGATTTGCCTAAAATTAAAGCTTACCATGCCACATTGAAAACAGACAACAAATTACCGACAACATTATCTTATCCATAAAATTAAAACAGAAATGAAATATTAATATTATTTCCGAAATTATGAATCTAAACTAAACCATTCTGAAATCGACCTGAAGAGACACACAAAATTTCATGAAAATCGGTCTAGCCGTTTAGGAGGAGTTCAGTGACATACACACGTACAGAATTATATATATATATATATATATATATATATATATATATATATATATATATATATATATATTTATATATATAAAGATATAGCTCATTGTATACAACATTTAACTAAAACCTAAATTACTTTGGATACTAGGTTTTACTTAATTACTTGATTGGTTTCAGTCGGCCTCGGGCTATGCGGAGCTGCCCCACCCTCCGTTTAGAGGGCGGCGGGTGCAGACACTTGACGCTTTGCGGAATTTAATATAAGCCGAGCGATTTCTCTTGCATTCTTATGCGATCGTCTAAGGACTCCATTAATTTTGATCCGTGACATATTTTGTGGGTATACAATTGCGCTCAGAACCGATTGGCGATTAACTGATTGGCGTCAGGCTCCCTAGAAGATGACAGAATTGTAATGGAGAAATAGTAGTACCATATTATATACTTTGTATAACAAGATAGAAAAAAAACTAAGGCGCTGAAGGTAAAGTTGGCAATGATTGCGCTCTGAATATTTATTGTTGGTATGAAAAGTAAATCATGAATACTTTACAGCATAAAACTATGTTTTACCCTTGGTAAGCTACTCTTCGGATGCTTATGGATGATGCTTATGGATGATGCTTATTGGATGTTAAGAAATTAAACTTTGTAAAAATTTAAATTGTTTATAGTGCTAATCTTTGCACTTAAGATTAAACATTAAACAGCAATGGCGACATCTCTCGTTCGAATTATCGTTGTAAAACGATATTCGAAGTTGTTTGTATGCTGGAAAGGATATAAAAATAGATGGCGCCAAGCATTGCTTCAAATGCTAAGAAAACAATGTAGAAGAATGCGTTGAGATTTTCGTCGGTGTGTCAATCAGCCGTTTAGCTCAGTGGCTAGAGCGTCAGGCCGCGAATGCCGAAGACGTGGGTTCGATTCCCACAGCGGCGACAATCTTTTCGCACTTTTTCTACATATTTTAACAATCAAACTTTTTAACACTATTACCGCACCAGAATATAGTTAAAAAAAGGGAACGGATGCCACCCAGACACGAAACACCAATTAATGGACTCATATGGAGATCGATCCTACAACGCGGCGCACAGTAACGGTTGCAGCGGGCAAGATCAACAAAACATCAAAACAATATATTTTCTACTCTATAAATAGAAAATGTGTTTAGCATAGTCAAGTAAAATAAGCCTGTAAATGTCCCACTATTAGACATTGTCACCACGCCACCCAACTGCGGATTGGCGGACTTCACGTCATACGTTCGTAATAATTTTTTTTGTTATTATTTCGAAAATATGCAGGTTTCCTCGTGATGTTCCTTCACAGCTGATCACGTGATATCTAAGCCTAAAATTAACATTTCCTTAATGCCGGCACAGAGGTTTGAACTCAGGTTGCTCCAGTATATTGAATTAAAAGCGAGCGCCCGGACAATGAAATATTACATCTCTGTAATTTTAGTACGTTAATTTCGATGATTTGTGTAAATATATAATACGTCTCATAAATCTGTAAAAATAGTTTCAATAATCTAATCAAATCAGCATAAAAAAGTTTTTTTGACGACTGTACTCGTTGCTCTTTAAATTCCTTCTTCTATACGTACCGATTGTATACATCAATGCCTACATTCCTTCGTGACACCATTTGAGAGGGGAATATTCGTAGCAGCTAAGCTTAGGACCAAAGGAAGGTTCCTTCATTGCAGTCTCACCAGTCGAAGCGCCAACATTCGCGGCCACCTAGTTCTGTATTCCTCTCGTACGATGTGTTAAGTTGAACCACAACCATGGGAATCAAGTGTATTTCCGTGATATTTTTCTTGTTGGTCTTTTATTATACTGCTCATTCAATTAGTAATGAAACCGGTGAGTTTATCTTTCGAATTTAACAAATACAATTTACATTTTTCCGTATATTTCACTTGCTTTATTTAATTTTTTTCTGACTGACTGTTTTCTCTCTGGTTATATTTCATCATTCAATCATTTACAATTTGTTTAATATTGTGTTAAAATACTGTCATGTTAGAGTTTTAACTATAACATCGTGTATTACCTTACGTACCGTAACTTTCTTATTATTAGGTGTCTTTCATATGATTATAAGAAAGTCCATTTGAAATACTAACAAGCAAAGTTCAATTTTATAGATCAGCGGTTTGCCGAAAGTGAATCAGCATTGGATCCTAACGGCGCTTTATTGCTTAAATGGAAAGTTGACTATTTAAGCAGAAAAATACATTTTCAATTGATCATATCGGAGAGGGCGCCGGAGGTGAATTGGTTCGCGTTGGGATTTTCCGACAGAGGGAATTTGGAATATTCTGATGTTTGCTTAGTATGGACCGATTATAAAGGACGCGATCATTTTGAGGTAAAATACTTTGTTTCTTTCATTTAATGGGAAATTGGTCATTGGCTTGATTGATTGATTAGTTACGTAAAACACGATGTTTCATTTATAGGATATGCATGCGGACTCCGATGGGAAATTGACACCGGATAATCAGCAGGACTGCGAATCTTTTTATTTCGACGGTGAACGTCGAAGTGTATTTTTCGAGCGATATTTCGACACCTGTGATGATGATGATTATATTATTGACGTAAGTACAAAGGATAAAAAATTTTCTTTGCCTCTAAAATAATTTAAAAATATTACCGGAAACGTAATTAATAATTTAATTAATATTATGAACGAACTCGTATCTACAGGGAGGCTCTTTTAAGTGTATCCATATTTTTTTATTAAATTCTAGAAATAAATAATGTTATATAAAAAATGATAAATATTTAAAATCACTCGTAATTAATTAATTATATTAATTTGAACTTATCTCAAAAGTGTCGTGATTTATGGGCAACTCACGACGCAATTATGAATGACTACGGCATTGTCAACGAGTTCTGTTTTTTAGGGAATATAATAGCATTTTTTTTGAAAAAAAAAAACAATTTGTTTTTTATTTCAATAAACTTTTTTTTACTTTTTTACTGATTATACTGCCGAATCTAAACCTCCTGTGTGAATTTGGGCACCTTTAGATAGCCACCCTGTATAGTTGCATAGTTGAAAGTATAAACACTTTTATTTTTTGATAAAGATAGGAAAAGACCCTTTACCACCTGCTATCATTTAAGCCTGGATGTTAAATTACTTCTATTTTTTTTTTCATCACCGCTAAATAAGTTAGATAATCCTTTGGTTTGAAAGCATTTTAAAAAGCCAATTGTATTGTACAAGGACTAACAAACAAATACTCTGGTGCAACGGTGGTAGGGCCACGCAGCAGCCTCGGCTGTTGCACGAATGGGCAGGCTCGTCCGGGTAGGTACCACGATCTCACAGAAGACCGGCGTAAAGTGGAAGTCTAGTACTTTCGCGTTTCGTCTGGTGAGTTACGTAGCCGGAGCCCAATTTCCAAAAAGATTGTCAACGCATCTGCAAACCTTCGGGTGTAGCAGATATCCATGGGCAGCGGTATTCACTTAACATCAGGTGAACCATCTGCTCGATTGGAAACTTTTCACATAAAAAAAAATCGAACCCACGACCCACAGCCTGGAAATCGATTGGCTTTGCAACTGCGCGCACCGAGTCCATCGTTATCTTATTAAAAACACATTCATAATTTTCACTCTTCTAACTTTGTAAAAAAAAGGAAAACAAAAAGGAATGATTGGCGTTTTCAGGATGGAACTGTGCACGTTGTTTGGGCTAGGGGCGTTGACAAACTATTTTCATCCAAAGGGTTATGTTTGACATGCACTGAACCACAAGATCACGGTTTCATCAGGGTCAGATTGCTGACTCCAACTGGTACGCCGAAGTACAACGGACAACAGTTGCGTATCACGAACGAGGAGCTAAAAGTGCCCAGTGGTGACACAACTTATTGGTGTAAAGTTGTCAAGTTACCGAATTTTATCAATCAGAATGTCCATCACATCATTAAGGTATGTGGTTTTAATAAGCTATTTAAAAATGGATGGCCGTGTGAGAGTTGAAAAGAGATCGACCCTGTTAGAAATAGACGTTAGGACTTGTATATTAAGACATAGATTTTATTTTTATACGAAATATAGGTATCACAACCTATGGTACGGACCTCGCAGGTAACTATTTAAAATTATAAAAGTTAAACCTTCTCTAAGACACTTCACAACACTTCTAAAAGAATAGGTACATACAGTTGCCTTTATGTTATATGCTACTACTAACACGTAATTTACGAAATTACGAATATAATAATGCACTTCCAAAAAATTGACTTTAGTATATAAGTAACTCTAATAAATTAACTCTAATATATATAATCATCTGGTAATTAAAAGACGGATACTACAATAAGCTTGGTTCAAACTTAGAATGTTCTAAAAAATAGGAATCATCGGATGAAAGATTACATTAGAATACATGACTTCAAATATTGACAAAGGCATAGAATAAACACTAAAAACAATAAATTAATATTTTGAGAACATTAGTTTGTCGTCAAATTTAAGAAGGATACAAAAAAAGAAATAAAGATGCATAAAAAAATGTTCCTCTTATCGATTTTAGTTCGAATCCACCATCACTAAAGGCAACGAGGGTTTAGTGCATCACATGGAGCTGTTTTATTGCGACGCTGACCCTAAAAAGGAAATACCGCTTTACAATGGGAATTGTTTTTCACCCGAACGACCAGATATCACAAAATTGTGTTCAAAGGTAAACCCATTTTTACTAAAGCTTTCATAGCTGTCTACTTTAATATCTGCAATAAGGCGAAGGAGTTTTCCGATTTAGATTACCTCTTATATTATAACTTTCTGTTTACGTTACTCTGGTAACATTGGGTCCTAATTCTAAAAGGGTAAAGCAGATCTTAATGCAAAAATTTTATCAATAAATTTAAAATTGAATTAAAAATAATTTAAAATTGACATTCCGCAAATAATTGAATAATTAGGAGATGATTCCTTATAAAAAAATGAATACGTTTCATTGCGTTTTCAGGTAAGAGCGGCTTGGGCAATGGGAGCACCTCCCTTCGCGTATCCAGAAGAGGCCGGCTTGCCTATCGGCGGTCCAAACTCCAATCAATATATTATGCTCGAAGTGCATTACAATAATCCGGAGTTAAAAAATGGTAAATAAACAATCAATATTTTTTTATGGATGAACACGATAAACACACATCGATAAATAGAAGTCGAACGATCTATTAATTGCAGAAATCATGTCCGGTTTGATTCTCAGGGAAAAATAAAATAAAACGGGAAACTTGTTTTACGCATATTAGCAAAATGGTGCCCTAGGTAGAGGGCAACCTTCCAAATAAGCTGTAGACTACAAACATACCTTAAATGAGTATGATCTAAATATGAATAACAATTTAATCGCAACATAGTTTACTTTATCTTGACGTTTTCAGATTGGGTCGACAGCTCAGGCATTATATTGCATCTAACGCCGAAGCAGGAGGCGTTACGATGCCGCTATAATGGAGCTTGGTCTTGAGTACACCGACAAAATGGCCATCCCAGCAGGCCAAGAAGCTTTCCCGTTGACCGGCTACTGTATCCCCCAGTGTACTGGAGTGGTAATCAAGCGTTGTCACTACACAGAATAAAACAAAGTCGTCCCGCTGTCTGTCTGTCCCTGTGTATGCTTAGATCGCAACGGATTTTCATGCGGTTTTTTTACTAGATGGAGTGATTGAAGAGGAAGATTTATATGTATAATACATTGCACCCGTGCGAGGCCGGGGCAGGTCGCTAGTATAGCATAATTATTAGTTAATATAATCGTGTTGCTATCGCCTACTTTTAATCCGGCGGAAGCTAAGCGGCTCACATCGATAAAAGATTATTTACGGAATAGCATTGTTTCATGTCATGCTAATAGGCTTTTTGAATCTCACTAGTGGTTAACAAATGTTTGTTTATTTTTGGATTTGCTAATAAAATGGCTTTAAAATTCGTATAAAACTCGTCAGAGAACACTGGATCTATTAGCGAGTGTTATTTTCATTTATTTTTTCCTATATAGAGTATAGGTGATAAACAAACAAGGGACTCATGTCGTTATTATTATTTCCATGATATCCATTCCCAATAGTGATAATGCTTCATTATAGTGTCTGGACCATGACTAGATAGAGTACCTACAACACGTAGCCAGTCTTTTAGAAATAGACTCTCCTATCTTCTAAGAGAGAAGTACTGTTCTTATAAGTTCTCAGACATAATTTTTTATTTACGTAACATGTAAATTATGCTCCAACAGATCAAATACTTGAAATTACTGTCTAACTAAATTATGCTTTGTCGAGTAGAGGTTCGACGTGCATGTTAGCTCTGTACAGTCCTTCTGACTTTATGAATTGCATATGGCACAGGGTATTCGAACCTTAACCGCTTTTACTGTAGTAGCTTCGAGGCGGCTTCTGCTAGTGCCTTAGTGGACCGTCTCTTTACAAAAATCCGCGTAAAAACAAATAAACTAACTTTGCAAGAGAAGACCGGAAAACAATAATTTCAAAAGTCGACAATGAATTTGCATTAACTCCGGCGAGTATGAGTTGCGGGGATCACTTGAGGCTGAGACCATTTTTAACTGTGGTAGGGCCACGCCACAGTCTTCACTTGCACGAATGGGTAGGTCCGTCCGGGTAAATACCACGACCTCACAGAAGGCCGGCGTAAAGTAGAAGTGTAACACTTCTGCGTTACGTCTGGCGTAGCCGGAGCCTACTTTTTTTAAACGGTTTTATTTAGCTCGACACGTAGGGAATTTGTTTATTTATTTGGGTCAAAATTAGAAATTGAAATTTAAGCACTTTCCCGTTGTCAGATTGATCTGAAATTTGGTACACACATTTAATTTAGATGACAATACAATATTGTAGGTTTCAGTGCACAAAAAAAAACATAAAATAAAACCGTTTAACTTAAACGTTTTTAAACGGTTTTATTGGAAGTGTTATTTAAGGTGGCAACGCATTTGCTTTAGAGACAGCGCTTTTACCTCCATAACTTTCAAATCACCTTTAAAACAGCGACGGTCATATAAAGACAGTTCTGTGACGTTCCAGGGTCTACCGGAGGACGGTATCGTCGTTTTCGGCAGTCAGCTGCATACCCATCTGACCGGCGTCGCTGTCTGGACGCGACATTCCCGCCGCGAGGTCGAGTTGCCCGTCCTCAACAGAGATCTGCACTACTCCACCCATTTCCAGGAGATCCGGATACTGCATCGCCCGGTCAAAGTGTTGCCGGTGAGCGACAATTGCCTGCGTCTTTTAATTTAGGAACGGAGAGAGAGCGGGGGAGAGAGAGAGACAAATCAATTGGGTACACGTAGTGCGTTGAGCACAATATAATGTACGCTGGTTCAGATAATAAATAAATATAAATATTTCAGGGACATTTTTGACATTTTCGACAAGCAAAGCTTGTACTATGTTTATCAGTTACCTAGTAAATTATCAGTTACCTAGTCAGTTACCTAGTCAGTTACCTAGTCAGTTACCTAACAGATAAACCTACTTCAACGTAATTTTCTTTTGTAAATGAATACATATTATAGATATATAAACACCCAGACACTAGAAATACACTATGTTCATCACACAATATTTTTCCAGTAGTGGGAATCGAACCCACACCCTCTGGCGCTACCTTCTTTGTCAATCGGGTCGTCAAAAAATCGTAAATACGTAGAGAGATTTCCCTTTATACGTATTTTCGTGATTCTACGTTTTCATAGGGCGACTTCTTGGAGACGACATGCATCTACAACACTATGGACAAATTAAACGCGACAATCGGCGGGCACGCCATTACGGACGAGATGTGCGTGAATTACATGCACTACTATCCCGCCACCGAACTGGAGGTCTGCAAGAGTGCTGTTTCCAATCTCGCATTGGAGAACTACTTCAAATTTGAGCGCAGGTACACCCGGGACAGCTCGGCTGTTTAAAATTATACAGCGTGTCTTTACCATCGCGACAATAAATGAACACACGTGTAACGCTACTTGCCAATAATCATAAAAAAATATTAACGTTAAACAAAATCCATAATTTAAAAAAAATATTTTTCAAACAAACTAATTAAATAAAAAACAAACAAAATTTGTAACACCTATACAACTCGGCCACAGCGTCGCATTACAAGCCTCTCCTTCTAACAGTATGTTTTGTCTCTTTTAAATTCATTCAACCCATTCATATGCTTTGTGACCTTGACAAAAAACTTTACGTTACGCTTTCATAGGTAAGGGTGTTCTAAAATTCTTTGTTTTGGAAAATATTATCTCTGTAAATATTGATGTTTAAAGAATTTAAATGTTTAATACAACTTTAAAAAATTACCCCCTATATGTGTGTTACTTTACTGTCGCGATGGTAACGACACGCTGTTATACAGCGTATTATGCTTTATTATAAAATTATTTTTCCCTATATATTTAGTTTACCACGTCATTATAATAATTTTAGGAAGCCTACATCTAAATTTATTAGTGTTTCTTACGTACCTACTAATACTCTAATTTTATTTTTATCAAAATGAAATTTATTTACTCCGTTTTCGTTCTGTTGGATAGGTAGATTGTAAATGTATGTAGGGTGCTAAAACTATCTCTATACTCAGGATGTAATTTATTTCTGGCGAAAAAACAAATAAGAGCTATATTTAGAGCCCGAGACTTTTGTAATAAATAAAAATTCTTCTTAAAGTTAACTTTATAGTGGTTCACGTTGTTATTAATTGTTAGAAGTAAAATTTATTTTGTCATCTCTAGTCCGACTTAATCGAAATTTTTAAAAGGCTGTCAACGCATCTGAAACCCTCTGGTGTAACTGATGCCCATGGGCGGCGGTATTCACTTAACATCAAGTGAACCGTCTGCTCAATTGGCAACTTTTCACATAAAAATAATAATCGAAAGTTATGAATAACGCTACAATAATTCCGTTGTGTTCTAGATGGGATAATATGTCTATTTCGTACGATTCACCTCCCCGAGCAAATTATTTATCTATTAAACCTTGGACCCCACTGCGGGCGAGTGCTTTGAACGCTCTTTACACAGAATCACCGATATCAATGCAGTGTAACAAATCAGATGGTAATCGGTTCCAGGTACGTTAAATATTGAAACACTAAACGTTCTAGATTAAACAGAATATTATTAGTATTACATTTCAAACAATAAAATAACACAACAAGGCGAACATTGGTAAATTAATAAATAATCTTTCTTTCATCCTCAATAACTTTCTTTCATTGTTTACATACTGCTTATGAACGTAGATTCAAATTAAATGATATTTATAAGTCTAGTATACATATCGCATATTTATTATAATTTTACGTATAATCACTTTGATATGATATTCTATTTAATGTAGAAAAATGTCTTGTTTCAATTTCATTTTTAATTTTGGTCATTTTGCTCCTAATTAAATTCTTAAATTTACACAAATGTTACTCATTTGAATAATATTACTTTATTTACGTTTCATTCCATTACACAATACCAAGGTCTTATTTAATTTCCTGGTCAGTGGTGGATTTGCCCTAAGGCCCAATAGGCCCGGGCCTAGATTAGGTGGCCACATATTAGGGGCAGCCAATCGTGACCAAAAATTCACTGTTGATAACAAGATATATGATGGGCTCTGGGAAAGGGGCGGCTGGAACTTACTAAATGGTTTGGAGCCTAGGGCGGCCAAGACTACAAATCCGCAACTGTTCCTGATGGCACTTTTAACTGATCTACAGTTGGCAGCAAATACTTACTGGATTACTTCATTTGGCGTAGCTCGGGTCTGGATTTAATTATCAAATTGATAGTAGCACTGAACATAAAATCATCCTGAGCAAGGTTGTGGTCCATCAATGATTTAATGGTTGGATGGTTTAGAATTCATTTGCAGATTTTGACGACTTTTACAGAAGTATTGCAAAGTATTAACGACGTAAAAATTAATAATTAAATGGCAACAAAATTGATAGAATACTTTAATTAAGATATGTATATGTATTTATTTTTTGCAGGGTGATTGGGAAGGGTTACCGATACCGAAAATAAGAGTACCGTTACCCAAAGAGCAGCGCATTTGTCCGAAAATTCAAAAACGTGTAAATAAAATAATGGCATATAAAAAATATTTTTACAGGAATGCAAAATAATTGATTCTATATGTTTACATGGGATAATAAACTAAACGTTGTAACTCAATTATAGAACCTCTACATAACTTTTGTTTAAAAATATGTTTTTAACTCGTAAATTACTCTACGTAGCAAATATATATATAACGTTGAAAATGAAAAACAAACAAAAAAAATCTTTGTTTAAGGATTAAAACTCTACATGAATCATTAAATTTTTAAAAATGATCATTCTGATGCTATTCAACTACGATATATTAATCTCATTAGTTACATATAAGTTAACACTTAAAACTTAAATGAAATACAGAAGTGATAATAATAGAAGGAAAACGAGGAAGAGGAAGAAGAAGAATAACATGGAGTGACAATTTGAAAAAATGGACAGACATCAAGGACGCCGTCAGTTTTTGTAGGTTGGCGCAGAATAGAGAACAGTTCCGTGTGGTGGTCACCGACATCCGATAGGATAGGGCACCCTCAAAAAGAAGAAGTAAAATGATAATTATAATGCTACCACATTGAGAAAGTCATTATAAAATCCCGCTTACCATTAAATGGCTTTTTACTGAATCTAGAGTTATCATTGAGCCCTATGAATGATCTCTCAATAAGAAGTGTGTGAGTCAGTGGTGGACTAACCGGGGGGCGGAAGGGGCGGCCCGCCCCGTGCCCCCGGTCCTTGGGGGCACCCAAACGCCTTCATGTTCCCTTGAAAAAATCCTAAACAGGGCTTTAAAATTATGTTTTGTACCTATCTAAGAGATTGGAGTTGGAGTTGACCCATACAAATATTATTTCTTTCAAATAATATACGGATACCTAAATAAATACAGTCCGAACTGGTAATTTACATTTTATAAATAAAATTACAACTATTGCTAATCAGGGGCGGGGGGCGGGACCCCGGCATCGTAGCATCGATACGAGGTGAAATAAAACTGACTTAATCCCCACTTTCCGGAAAAAAAATCATAATTTTTACAATATCATACACGATATAACAATGTCATACACGAAGTTTTTCACGTTAGCGCAATAATGGCATGAAATTATTAGTAATATAACTTTCTGGCGAGATGTATTAAATTAATGATAAATTTAAAACTTTCACTTATACTTTCTACTACGTATTTTTTACTATGCACGGCCTTTTCTAAAGAATATCTTATCGTTATAGATAATAAAGATAGTAATACAATGAATAATCAAAAAGATCAACTTGAATTAAAAAGCTACCCTACTGCAACCACGAACCAATAAGTATGTAGCTATTAGTGTTTTCGTGCCTTCACTTTACTGAACTCTTCAATAACTTCTGTGAAATCAATTTCTTTTGAAACACACAAGGCTAGTGGAAATAAAAACTACCTATTACTTTATTTTTACTAATAGATTTTTTGCCGATCTATTATTTGCCGTTTTTATTTCCCTCATCCATATCCATATTTTATGTATGTTTTTCGAAGTCCAATTTAAATTTCAATTGCGAAGTTTTAATTAAATAAACATAAACGTTTATACGAATGTGAAGTGAACAGTTTAAGTAAAAAGCTTGTAAAGTAAACTTAAGTGCCGCCCCGGGCCTCAAAAGCTGGTTGTGCCGCCATTAAATGATTCACGCAGTCCAGAAATATACCGATGAAGTACGATCCTGAGCCCCGCATCCATCGACTCCCGCACATTTGAGGTCGACTCCATTGAGTGGGGGGTCGTTCTACACTGCGATGGGCAGTACGAGGCTGCCACTCGAGAATCTTTCTTCCCCAACGGTTATCGGTTCTACGAGATATATGGCCGGCCCATCGCCACTTCAGCTTGCTTATCCTCTGAGCTATGTCGGTTATCTTGGTTCTCATGCGGATGTCTTCGTTACGAACTCTATCACGCAGAGAAATACCGAGCATAGCCCGCTCCATAGCTCGCTGAGCGACTTTGAGCTTCCTCATACGGCCAGCAGTGAAGGACCATGCCTTGGTTCCGTAGGTCATCACTGGCAACACACATTGATTGAAGACTTTAGTCTTCAAACATTGCGGTATATTCGACGAGAAGATTTGCCGGTTAGAATGATTAACTTAATAGAAATGATGAAGCTGGGTTCAGCCAACTTCGGTTTACCCATTATATCTATGCCACATTTTATTGATCATGTATCCATGCATTTTATATGAAAGTAGTTCATGTGTGACAGAATAATGGCATGTCTATTTCATATCTAAATTAATTGTTCAAAAATAAGTCAATCCTATACCCTTTTATTTTCTTTTTGGTTGTAAGCACTTATCACTAATTACTGGTTATATGATTAGAATACCCGGTATAAAAAGAATTGGTATCGTATTGGTTCGACGAGACGCGCACTGCCTTAAATTAGGCATACCTACGACGTTCACATGTACCCGTACGCGAGTGAAATGTGCCTATGATGCACAAAATGACAATGTCGCTGTTCGGTTGCGTAACTCCGAACAGGTGAATTTCGTTCAAAGTCTACTTATAGACATATCAACTACTGTTCGTAGTGTAATATTTCTAAAACGTTTGAAAATAAATAAATAAAATGGTATACCACACATAACATATTTCGAGTGTTAGTCTGTGTTAGCAAATAAATTATAGGTAACAATAGATGTGATATAAAACGCCAGATTAGTAGATTTCAAGCACCAGTTGGCCTGGAAATTATGGTACCTTTAATCACTAATCTTAAGCCGGCGGAACGATTCGGCTTTCATTTGCATTTTGGCATTTTGGCTTTCGAGCTAGACATTCCTGTCCCGACCAATTATACCGCCTAACGAAACACATCCTAAAAGACTTTAATCATCCGAAACATTAGCAGGGAGGCTTTTTTCTTCGATGTCGTAAAGGCATTCGACAAGGTCTGGCACAACGGCTTGCTTTACAAGCTGTTCACACTTAAAGTGCCAGATAGGCTCGTACACAGCATCTGGGCCTTCCTGTCGAACCGCTCTTTTCGATATCGAGTTGAGGGCACCCTCTCCATAAACCTCTCACCCTTACTCTTTACGCTCTACACGAGCGACATACCCATAGACCCCACGTCAAAATCGCGCTTTTTCGGATGACACGGCGCTCTTTGACACAGATAAAAATCTCAATCAACTCACTACTCGTCTTCAAAGCGCCGCCTATCACCTCGGCGATTAGTTCCGCAAATGGAGAATAGAAGTAAATCCCGAAGACTGTGGCGATTCACTTCACACTCACACACGCATCTTACTCGTTTGTACAAATTGCAAATAGTACAAAATAAGTTCATCCACCGTGCAACCGGTGCGCAATGGTATCAACGCAACGTCGACCTGCACAGCGATTGCAGACTCACCGCCCCCAGCCACCGATATATAAAAACACAGTCGACGGCCATCTGGGTCTCGGTTCGAACCTCAACCTCGATGGCCCTTAGATGACATACCATAGTTAAACGCACGCATGGGCACATGCGTGGCCCTACCCACAGCGGAGAGCCCAAACCCGTGGGTTCTGGGTAGCCCACCGATTCTGCGTCAGATGAAGCTTTAATAGTCTCGGGACTGAAAGCAAAAGCATCATTTAATACAAGATACAAGACAACATCTACAAGCAGGGCGTAATTTTTATGGGTTCTGCGGATAACGGGTTGCGCAACGGGTGATCTAAAATAAAGTATTTAATAAAAAGTAATCTAATAATTGTTCACAAAAAACGTCCTTAACTCAGTTTTATACTAATTGTGTTACTTATGACAAAGCGGTGGCCAATCTGTCTGAAGTTAGGATAACGAAAGACGCCGCGCACTGGTCATTGCGCAGTTGCAACAGATGCAGGTGCAATACATTGGTAACTGCTGATGTACCACACTCTTCAAAACCTGTCATCTTCGAAAAACATTATTCATCAATATTATTAAAACGTAGAATTTTTTCATCATTCCACTTCACTTTCTGTTGACAGAATAGCCAGGTTCGAAAATTTGTCTTGGCTTATCGATGTTCTCAGATGTTTTTATTATAAAATTCTTTTACTTTCTTCTGAGAAGAAACTGCTTAAAAATGATGCAGTTTCTTTAATACAAATCCAATTATTAAGTGAGAATGTGTTTTATTAGGGGAATCATCACTGTTAAAACCATAATTTTTGGACATGTTTTTATAGACTGGACTAGACTAGACTAGAAGATTATTATCTTAATATTTTTCGTCGTATCCATTACCTATTTGTATTCAAGCGGGCAAAGAATCCATTGAAATTACAAAAACAGTCATAATGTAATCCATGACTTTTGCAAAATAAATTTATACAGCTTAATTTCTTCTGAAATAAACATTTCTCTGAAAACGTTTGGATTGCTTTATCTATAGTAGTTTGTAAGATATATGTAAGGACTATTTGGAGTTGCCCTTGTTGAATTTTTGTCATATCTTTCAACATGAATCATCATTACTAAAAAGAAATCTTGAATTTTTAAATATTATCATTTTTCTGTAAAATCTTATCAAGTTTATTATCTTTATTTGTTAAGAAGTTTTTGTATGACCGCCGCCATAACCATTCGAATCGCCCTGCCAACGCTCTGAACCTGCCTTGCATTGCACCTTTTCCTTTCACGCGTTAAAGATGCAGTGGTTACTTCACCCAACAAATCCTCCAAGGGGTAGATAAACCTTTGTGCAAAAAAACCAAAGTTTGGGCAACAACATAATCTGGTCTAAGGTTCTTACAGCACGATGACGTATCATAAAGTAGAAACAAAAAATGGCTTACTGAATGTTTTGATGTTATTATTTTCCATCTTTGTAAAGTGCCATGCCGTGTACTTGCAATTTTAATTTTGTTTTTGTTTTCTACATTAGACTACGTCTATACATAAATAAATGTTGGACTACATAGTCTGAGATTTTGGAGAATCTGTTTTAATTAATTTATCTGTAGTAATCTTTAACATCTGTACTGTGTACTGTGTAATGATTAATGTGATGATTGCCTGACATTTTGTTTTTCGTTTAATCTTACTGCGAATTTTAACTTTCTTCTTCCTTATTGCGTCTAGTCTATAAAAACATGTCCAACGATTATGGTTTTAACAGTGATGATTCCCCTAATAAAACAAATTCTCACTTACTACTCCCTAGCCCTATTATAACACGACGTAATCGAACTGCTTCGACGTAAGTGCTAAGGAAGTTTGTTAAATATATTGTTATTCGAAATACTGTTTATTATTATTGGTATTGTTTTTTTTTATTTCAGTTCTGAAAGAGCTTTGGGAAATCCATTAGAAACTGGTAAAATAAAGTCTTTTTGTCGAGAAAAAGGCCACGGTTTCGTGACGCCTGAAAGAGGCGGCGAAGATCTATTTGTACATATTTCGGAGTAAGTACAATTTGTTTACTGATTTTTTTATAATTAAGTACTACTTAAGAAATAACGCAAATAATGAGAATCAGAGTTAGTACTAATGATAATAAAAAAAGAATACAGTAATTCTATTCTGTACTAATTTGGTTATTTTAGTGTAAGCTATCAAAAGCTTAATAGCCGTGATAAGTCATTGCCCGGGCGCTCGCTTTTAATTCCATATACTCAAGCAACCTGAATTCATCCTGTGCCAGCACCAATGCAATTGTTAATTTTATGTGCTAAATTATCTCGTGCCTTGCAGTGAAGGAAAACAATCAAAAATCTTGAGGAAACCTGACTTTATTGTAAAAATGTATTTAATATCTGCTTTTTCATTATTCTTTTAGAATATTTTTAGAATTCAGTCAAACGAGTTGAGGAAACAAATATTAATAGTAGTATTACATTAAATAAACACAAGTAAATAAAAATACTACAGATCACTTATAAATCAATTGATATAACTTTTGTAACAAATTATGTAATATGATTTAATAAAAAATTTATTTGTTTTTCTTTTAGCATTGAAGGGGAGTATGTTCCTCTGCCAGGCGATGATGTGACTTACCGCCTGTGTCCTATCCCACCCAAGTTTGAAAAGAACCAAGCTGTACATGTCCGTATTGTTCACCTTACCCGTGAAAAGCATCTTAAATGGGATGAGCCCCCACCAATACACCCGTAACCTCCCAGTTTAGCACAAAGAAGATGCCAATAATAATTTGCAAATACATCCCATCATCTGTTGCAATGCATTTGTTCATAAAATCCCATCAGGGCTAAACATATTTATCTATAGTTGTAAGCTCATGTTCACTATGTCATTTCTATTTTTTAAAGAGAAAAGAAATGTAAGGTTGTATCAAATTAAAATGAGAAATCAGTCCAATTGAAAATAAAACAGAATTTCAAAAAGTAGGAAGCCAAATTGTGGTGCTAAATTTTCGAAGGTTTTTACCATCATCTTAGGATTTTGATACCTGGTTTTGATAATTCAGTGAAAGGTTTATGGCTTCTTACAGGATTCCTTTATTTACAGTGTAAGATATGTAACAAAATCGATTTATTGGCCTAATTCTCATATACAATGTTATCCACTAAAGCTAACCACTAAGTGGTTTTAGATCATAATGTGCCACAAGTACCAAAATATTATAAGTTGTGAAATGAAATTATACTGAATGTATTGTCTTATTATCAAATAAAAAACAACATTTTCATTCCAAGTGTAAGCATTTTACTATAGCAATATTTATTTGAGCTATGAATTAAAAAAAGTCCCTTGCACAAATGTATTATTGTAATGATTTATTTGGTTACATATGTTGCCATGCTTCTTAGTTTCTAATTATACTCTTAGTATTCATTATTGAATACAGTAAATGTATGTAATAAATGTAAGCATTATTCATTGTTTCAATTATTAACCAATCTAAATTATTCAATACAATAAAGTAAGAAAAAATAAAATTATTAATTATCTAAAATGTAAATTTGGCCAATTGACATTGATATGTTGCTCAAAGAATACAATTGGGTTAACACTGTTTAAACTGACCATAACAATTTTGTGGAAACAATAATTGTTGAGATAATTATGTGTGGTCACAATAATTGTAGGTAATGGTTGCATGATACTTGTATGAGAAACCTTTTCATAGCTATCGCAATTTGTTACAGATGCCTTCCATTTAACTGCAGTTTTAAATTCAAATTAAATTTATTTCAATCAATAAAAAATTTGATTACGATATATGTAATTTATTTATATCAATAAAATACATACAAAATTTTAAAATTTGGCTAGGATTTCAATAAAATAGAAAATGATATAGTTTTTATTTACTGCATTTCATTATATGATACCACAACACAGATTAAGATAGTGATGCATATTCAAAAACCATTAAACACTAAGGCTTGAAAGGGATATAATGTAAAGTATAACAACAAAAACATGTGATAATATAAAATGTCTATAAATATAAAATTCCCGATTCCTTACATCTTAGTCTTATTGCTTAAAGCTTAATGTCTTATTACATTTTTTTTAGGACGAAAACAGTGGAAAGGCAGGTAACTGTCAGGTTTGGTAAAAAATCTGAAAGCCAGAAATACTTTAATTACATTGATTTTTTTTAGTGAATACTTCAGTTAGGTCGTGCTCAATGTACTATCAAATTTGTTTTGCTCTTATCTTACTACGTTTTTAAATCCATAAATTATAATTCAATATTTTATGGTCACATTCATTGTAACTACGCACTACACGTTTTCTTTATAATTTCTCTTTCTAATTGCTCTAAGCAGATTCAAAATTAATGACTTCTGTGAACTTCACACTCACCCGCCAGTCGATACGTGCGTATCCACTATCGGTTCTTAGAGTGAGTTACGTCCAGGGTTGGATTTAGGTGCGGTAAAAAAGATAAAAGGATAGTATTTGACTAAGAATTATAGTACACTGTTATTTTCATAATTAATGCACAAAATATGAATTCTTTTACTCAAAAACTTGCCGAAAATTGTTATCACTTTGAATTTTGAATAAGAATGTAACATCCGTACCATAAAAATAATAAATTAATCGTACTATTAGACAATTATGAAGTCTATTAACTACTTCATTGAGTGCAAAGTTACTGTTTGAGAAAGTGGAGTATTGAAAAAAGTCCAATTGTTGTCAAAAAGTGGAAAATATTGAAAAAAGTTAAAGAATTACAACGTGATTACAACCCAAAGAATTTCTTTTAATGTTGGATTGGCAGTGAATGATATAATAGGAATGAAAATGATATTTAGGTAAAGTAATGAAATTTTAGTACGCTTTCGTACTATCCTTAGATATGAATTTGTGTTGAGTATAGTATATAGTACGAAGCATGAAATTATAGTACAAAATCCTACCCTGGTTACGTCCAACTATAAAGCAATACATAGTTTGTCGCACCGGCACTGGTAGCTAACTTACGAAAACTTAAAAATCGGACCTGTTTAAAATTACTTATTATTCGATTTTTGGTTTAATGGATTGTAGTGTGTAATTCGTTGAATTTTCACCGGAAAACATTAAAGGCTTACTAAATTGACTAATCACTTTTTGAATATTACTGATTTTTAATATGTATTGAGATATGTTATTTAATTTATTATGAATAAAATTAACCGACCGACTGTTTTTACGGCAATAGAAGTTTTGAAGTATCGTCACATTTAAGCCTAAATACCATGAAATGTGCTGCAACTTTTGGGCACCTCAATTGTGTTCTAATTGTGTCGAATGGGAAGAAAAACTTTCCCTTTTATTGATTGAATAAATTCAAATATTTTATACATATCAAAAATTATGCTAAACTTTAATAAATTCACTTTGGTTGCGAAACTTTCCCATAATGCGGGATGTCAATTCCTTAAAATTTATGCATCCATCAACCTGCACATTGTCACAAAAACAATTATATTTCTTGCGAAGTAAATGCAGGGCCGAGAGCGTAATATTCATAATAAACTATTGTCATAGGTTAGTGATACATTTTACAAAAGTTTTTCGGCTTTACTAGGTTGGACTTATCGGTTTACGATTCGTTTTGAATTTATTACTCCTTGCCATTTGTCATGCCCCCATTCTGCAAAAGAAAACAATGCAAGTTAAAATAATACGAAGACTCAATATAAAGAACAATGTGTATAATTCATCTACAAATGGAAGAAAATTCGATTATGAGGATTTAATGAATACCAATATTTTTAAAATATTTATTTAATCATTACATGTAGAAATATCAACACTAAATAAGTAGCTGCAACTAATTACTAACCCATCTTTAATGTATTCAATTTTTTTTTCACCAGTGAAAATTTAGGATTCGAAAGAACAACATTCTATACTGATTAGGCCATTGATTAATTCATACAACGCCATGTGATATCACATTCAAGAGAATTACTAAATAAAATAAAAAATAACATCTGCAAAAATAATAAGTTATTATATTAAACGCATTATAGTAATTAATTTGTGAGTGAAAACGTAATTTGTTATTAAAAATTAGCGAACTGTATTTGTTTTATGACATTCCTTAACTGTCTTAGAGATACAAAATAAATGGCCTCCACTGGCAGCCCTGTTAATGCATTAGATCAAATTCTACTTTGCTGTATGATGTAACTAGCCTCTTTTACCACAACAGACAGATGATAATGTTAATAGTTTTTATTGATATTAATTGGTTACTTAACGTTACGCCTCTAATACCCATGCAGATTTGTTAGAGTCCTCGAGAGCATAAAAAAGTACACACAGGTTAAATATCATTTCGTGCAATTAGGATATCAAACTTCCTAATTAAATCGCGAACTTCGCGACAAAAATCCTCGCTGAAAGGTTTAACCATTAGTGAGGAATGAACTGGCCCCTATATCACCTCGGGCTCAGGATCGAGCTTCGAAGCGGTCTGTGGAAGAGGCCTATGTCCATCAGTGGACTCAAACGGGCTAAATGATGATGACAATATTTAACCAAATAAACCAGCATGCTATCAAATTTAATTTTATTTTATCAGACTGTGGATGTTGTGTGTGTTAAACGTGACGTGTGGCTGTTAAATGTTACCTCTTCCTGCTGCGCCAAGTGGTAATGCCGCTTCCTGAGCTCCGATAGACGGGCCCGTTCGGCCTCCAGAGCGGTCTCCAGCTCGAGAGAGCGCACCAAGCTCTCCATTTCTAGGCGCCTGGTCGCCGTCAGCGTCAATGCGGACGTGTCGAGAGCCTCTGCGATACAAGTAAAGAGTAAAACAACAGCCTGTATATATCCCACCGCTGGGCAAAGGTCTCCTCTGTACAAAGGGTATTAGGGCATAGGCCATCACGCGACCCCACTGCAGATTGGCTGACTATATCGAAACATTTGTTATTCGTAATTATTTCGAAAATGTGCATGGTTTCCTCACGATGTTTTCCTTCGCCGACGAGCACCTAGTAAATCAGCACGTAAAATTGTAATTAAAAATTTAATTGGTGCTGACACCGGAGCTTGAACTCAGGTTTCTCGAGATTTTATATTAGAAGCGAGCCATATATACTGCGATTGCAATGTCTTAATTTCATGACACTACAATCTGTCGTCTTCATAACGTATATTTAAAACATTCCATTGCAATAGTCTACAGTTACATCAATCGGCTATAAATATTGCAATTCGACCCCTGGAAAAAAATACTCTGCAATTTCAGGTTCGTAGAGCGATATCTCTACCCTACTTATGTGACGTTTATCGGTCTCTGTACACATGTGCGATAGCGATAACGCTCTCCAAAGCCGTATTGAGCCGATTTTCTTTTTCCAAATGTTGATGTGCAATATTTATCGGAGAGTTATGATACCAATAATGAATAAGTGTAGCAAAAATGGTAACCGATTGGGAAACAACGTTTAAACGGGGATTTCGTGCAGCTTTAATTCGCCAGTCTAATTGGCAACGCTCCACACTTCGTTAGAAATTAAGCTGAACGTCCACATGATGAAGATGATGTATTTTTTTTCGTTGTTTTTAAAAAAAACATTGCTTTTACTTTAGGATAAATGAAATTTATTCTTGTATAACATTATCCTGTGTTGTTAACGCAGGATAATGTTATACAAGAATAAATTTCATGTGGACAAACACCCAGATTCGAAACAACTTTTTGTTGGTCCCACAAATAATTGTTCCGTGGGAATCGAACCCACGACCCCCGACGCCGAAGGCAATACCATGGCAACTGTGCCACAGGGAAATCAAAAAATATTTGAATGTAGAGCCAAGGGAACCGACACAGGCCGGCCAACACCCAAAGTTGGAGTTTCCTAGTTGGAGCTGATGCTATTTTAGTGAATTACACGTTGCGCCAACGGCGCATATAAATCCGTGTTAATAAAGCTTTATAACTATCATGAGATATCTTAAAACGCGTGTTAATGCAAGCGAATAACAATGTCACCGTGTAGTGTAGACTGAGACGTATAGCGATTTAGAGCGCTGCGCGCACGAGTTGAGTATACTCGCCCCCACTGCCCCGCATGCATTCCCTGACACCCAATAATCGCGATATCTACCCTTTTCTCATGTTTAATCTCTTTTCTAAGAACAGTCGCAGAGTTGCCAGTATCTCAGTGTTGGATGCATCATTAAATTGCTCCCCTCCCTATTCCATTATCGGACAAAAAAATCGTTCGGAGGGGCTCGTCTCCTCATTAAATATATAGACTATTACTTTCCTTACTATCCAGTGAGTTGGTAGTCAGGCACTGGCTGGAATTTGGAAAAAAAAGAAAAAAACATTCGGGTACCGGTGTCGCGCACGAGGTCGGCCGCGTGCCGCGTAGCGGCCAGCACGGCGCCCGCCGCGGCGGCCACCTGCCGCGAGGCGGCCGTCAGTCGCGCCAGGGACGGCGCCGAGGGCGGAGCTCGCGCCCGCGACGCGGCCACCAGCTGCGCGGTGCTGCCGGCCACCTCGTGCGTCGCCGCCGACACGCCCTCCACGCGCCCGCGGCCGCGCACCGCCTCGTCCGCGGACGAACTGCAAAGTTAAACACGTCTTAGGAATACTTTTTTATGGAATAGACTTTTTTAGATTTGGTGCTAGGGCCACGCAGCAGCCTCGGCGATGATCCGTCTGCTCGCTTGTCAACTTTTCACATAGAAAAAAGACTCCACTTGCACCGCCCCGCCCGCGGCGGCACCAAGCTCAAAGTTATTCTAATCTATAATTATTATAGTTTCACGGTTTTTTTATGTTGTCAAACGAGCGGGCTGTCCACCCGATGTTATGCACCCAGGATATAATATGTTATATAGCTCCCTACCCGCCAAATTGTTCTTTATGCAATGATGATAATGCAGGAATTCGCTTACAGGAACTGCTTAGCGGCGAAGACGACCGTTTTATCAACAATGTTTCAGTTTCGGTTGGCCGATATACAAGAACCGAGAAACTATGTTGCATCGCTCTCTATCCGCTAAACTGTTCTTTATGCAACGGTGATAAAGCAGGAGTTCGCTTACACGAGCTGCTTGGCGGCGAAGACGACCGCCTTGGCGGCGGAGATGAGCCCCTCCGACCACTGGGGGTTGCGCCGGTACATCTTCTGGCGGGTCTTCGGCTCGCCGAGCTCGTTCTGCAGCCTCCTCGCGTCCTGCACCAGCACCTTCACCGCGCCCATGAGCGTCGTGCACGCGTCCAGGATCTTCTCGTTCACCTCCAGCTTCACGCCCGAGTCGGCCGCGCGGCTGGCGGCGAGCATCTCCTGGACACCACAGATAGCTATTTAAATATTATAAGAGGAACGAGCAGACGTGACCAATTTGGTTTCATAGTTCTATCGCCTCATGTTTGTGCCCTCGCTGGGTCGTTTGAGGTTCTTATTTAACTATATGAAACTACAATTCTAAATGTAAAAGCCTGCTAGAATAAAATTCATTATAAACCGAAAAATATAAAGTTAAAATACCTATTGCTCAAAATAGAGATCGATATCAAAGAGTAGGAGATATGAGATAAAACGCTTTTTATTGTAACAGGGCAAAGTAACAGCTTCTGCTGCTTTCGTGAATGGCCTGCTATATTGGCTCGGGATTTCAACAGATAGATAAAAACCGTTTTTTTTTTTCTGAGAGTAGACCGAATCGAGCGGAGGCGTTCATTTCGATCTACCCTCAGATCAATACCGTCACGTCACCTCGATCTGGGCGGCCGCCTGCTCTATGGCGCTGTCCATGCTGGCGAGCTCGTCGTCGACGCTGCGCGCGGCCGGCTCGCGGTCCGCCGCCGCGGCGCCCTCGGCCGCCGCGCACACCCTGCCCCGCGCCTCCTCCCACGCCCCGCCCTCCAGCCGCCCCGCCGCCAGCGACTCGAGGCAGAGCCGCGTCGCGGACAGCATCGAGCGGCACTCGCCGCTCAACTCTGGTAGTTATGTCCAATGTGAAGAAATACATCGATACTTATGCGGATATCAATGTCGGCTAAAAATATCGACACATCGATATTGTTCCGACATCCCTAAACTCTGACCGAGCACGCGCCATGCTCGTTTATATAGCACTCTGTTTAGCTGTTGAACGAATGGACAGATCCGTCCGGGTAAGCACCGCGACCACAAGAAAGACCGGCGTGAAGTGCAAGTGTTACACGCTAAGCGCTTATCTATATACGGTGGTGTGGACTGTTCTTAGAGTTGATTGATTTCTTAGAGTATGAGTGTACGTATATAGAGGAGGATTTGATGTATGATTCCAATGGCTGATTGGATTAAACATTTTCAATTTGACAATCATTTTTTTTATCATTTCTGTGTTTTGCCAGGACACTTATTCAATTCAGCTACTGTGTATAGCCATCAAAGCTCTGATCAAAACATCAATGTTCGACATTTTTGTGTTATGGTATACTCAGGCATGATCAAGTAATGTTCACTAAAAAGTGATGCAATAGTATCCAACTCATCCTTTCAACTACACCAGAGTTCGGTACAACTTACTCTCCGACGCTTCCATGTCCGTGGATACGTTGCAAAGGTCCATGATGTAGGCGGACAGCCGCGATGTGTTGTGTGCGGCGAATACGGCTGATTTCGCCACAGCTTCCTCGTTGCCGGTGATCTGAAGTGAATAGAGTAAATAGGCTTTTTATATTTTTTTTATTTCAAAGGGACGGGGCAAAGGGTTCACTCGATGGTGACCAGAGCTCGCAAGCGTGTTTCCAAGCACTGCGAGAGTGGAGCTCTGTTACATCACAAACCGAACAGAGCGGAAAAGTATTCATTTCCTCGGTCGAGCCAATCTATTCGTGCGCAAGTGTTGAGGTTAAGGATCCACCACAGTAGTTTATATAAAAAACACAAACATATTTTTTTAAACTCTTATTAAATTCATGTTTGCTATAATACTGCCTGATTGTTGTACGAATGGTGCGGCTGGTCCAAAATGCCACTAAGTCAAAGCAGACCGGTGTGAAATTTTTTTTTCATTGGCTTTTCGTCGACTCTACCTGGAGACGCAATCTTGTAAAGGTTAGTTAGTGACTCCATTCTCCGTAACTCCATTTGAGTGGCATACATCAAGAGGAAACTGTTAAAAAGAACTAAACCGACCAGGCCTTTGTGATCTTTTAAGTAAATAGTCGAATGCTCGATTGTTTTCCAAAAAAGTACCTATAAACTAAAAGTAGGTACCATGAGTTTTCGCTTTACAGACTTTTTACGGCCACAAGTCGCTGTCTCGCGTGTGGTTAACATTTGTAAAAAAAAAACTTTAATTAAAACGATCACGTCCCATACGTGACAAGTTCGACTACACTTCACCTTAGATTAAATATAGCGTATGATTACATACATACATACATTACATACATCGCGCGGTTCACACCGCCCACGACCGCACACAGTGGAGGAGAGCATCATGTGGTCACGATCCTCAGCATTGAGGGACCGAGCAAGGAGAATTTCAAATGCATCGGTCGTGTTAGTTGCAAAATGATTACATAGAAACGTTAGTAAAGAGCACGCAAAACAACACTGACCTGTGTACTTTTGGCGAGTTCGTCGAAGGCCTTCGCCGCTAGTTCGGCCGCGAGGCGATTGGTGTCCCGGACACTGGAGTGCTCGAACGACTCTAGCGCTTCGTTGGTCAACTCTAGCGCCGCTTCGCCGGCGCACGTCACTAATCTAGATGTTTCTGTGGCAAGTATACAGACAGTATACAGTGACAGTAGACAGTATACAGTGACAGTAGACAGAAGTGTTGTTACGAACAACACACAATACAGTGTTCGTTACGAACAAGGCAATAGGGGATGCGTTAAGCTTAGGCTATATGCCCAGGGTTGGAATAAGGCAATAGGAGATGTACCTAGGCTTAGGCCTTATACATAGGGTTTCCCATCATACCACTTATACACATACAGTATTATACTGCTTTTGGTTACAATCGTATGGTTTGATAGTTAGTACTTTACGTATAAACGACCGTATCACTAGAGTCAACCACGTAATATCTGTCACCTGAAGCTATGTTTTACAAAGTATAAAAGATACAAAAGGTTTTTTTTTATTGAAGTATATTATATTTTAAGTATTTTTTTAAAATACTATGATCAGCGGAAGAAATGTTGGCAGCCCTAAATAGGCTTCTTGTCCTAATCGGATAATATTTTCGCTTTCAGTGTTCAGGACTGGGCAAAGCATCGATTGCCTAATTATTAGTTTGTCGAGTCAAACTAATTTCCGTATCGCAATCAAGTTCTGAACTTCTAGCCATATAAGTTACAAATGAATATTTACTTGACTTTACTCATTCATTAAACAAATTGCTTAAAATTGTCATAAACTAAACAAATCTGTGTGGAGAGGTTTTTAGCATTTTTCGTATTGCAATAAATCAAGCGGCTAAAACCGGAATACATAAATTAAAATGATAACGCCATATCTATAGAGAAATGGAGAAATGTTGTCTGAAGAAGAAATTTCATTATATCAGAACGATTGAACATTGACTGGTTTTCTGGTTGAAACCGATGATGATTATAAATTACATTTACCAAGTATAGTATTAAATACCTACTATAAAAAGTATATATCTGCTGACCGTACACTGCTGCAAACGCAAAAACCTCTCCAAGCTAATTCATCAATACAAGATGGATATGAGAAAGATCTAGTATATAAAACAAATATCACTAACGTCGCTTTATTTCCGCCTGCGCGTCTTGCAGCTGAGCTTTTAGCGATGCAACGTCCGCCTCTAGCACGGTGTTGTGTTGCAACAGGTCCTGCAATTCACACTCGGCGTTCAAACGCTCAGTCTCTGTGTGCTCGAGCCTAGCGTTCACTATCTAAACGGTTACAATCGCACACGTACAAACGAAAGGAGTATACTTAACGTAGGCGCGATCGAGCGTGCGACATTCGCGGAACGGAAGATCGCCGCCAGAGTAGGACGGAAGATCGATCCGGAGCATGCAGCGTAATGCGAAGATGCAGAACCAAGCCAACCGTAGATGTAGAGAAGAATGAAAATAACACATGCCATTAGAGTATGCAGCGTCATGCGAGGTTTGAGTTTAGTCATTCTACAGAAATAACCCGATAGTTTGGAAAAAGTATGAAAAGAAAATACAATTACAAAATTTTTAATTTATGTCACCTAGGTGATAACAATCAATAAACTTTTTCAAGAGACAATTAAAGTGTAATGTTTACTATGAATCCATGTTCCTAATTCATTCATGAAGATATTTTATACAATACTGTGTAAAATACCAATAGTTGATCAAAGACCTTTTATACATTAAACACAAGGAAAGAATTCCGCCACCAATATTTATTATTGTCAAAGATGTTAATCCTGGTCTAAATTGTCACATCACAAACATGTAGTAAATCCATCACCAATGTTAGTCTAACCTGGCTTTCTTTTTCTTTCTCTGATATTAATAACTCCATATCCTCCTTTTCTTTACTTTTCGACGCTTCCAACTCGGAAATCTGAATTTTTAATGTATCTCTTTCTTTCTGTACTAAGTCCAAAGTTACTTCTTTGTTATGAAGAAACTGCACATAAGACTTCATTTTATGTTCGATTTCATGAAGTTCTGTATTTTTAACATTTATTACTTCTGCTAATTTTTGTTTCAAATTGTCTATTTCAGCACTCCATTTATTATCATTTACAATTTTCTCTTCTTCAATTGTACTGATTCTGATATTTAATGCTGCTATTGTTCTTTCCATTTCGTCTACATTGTTTGCTAATGCCTATCAAATATAAAATGTTATAAAAACGAAAATTACAATAAAACGTCACAAGACATCCAAAACTAACCTGTTTTTCCGTAGTTAATTCCAAAATTTTACGTTCGTATTCTACTTGAATTTGTTCTTTCTCAGAGCGTAATTTAACAATTTCACCATTAAGAGTTCGTAATTCATCGTTTTTCAATGCTAAATTAGCATCATTTATAGATATAGAATTTTCGTGTTCCTCTTTTAGGGTAAGCAACTCATTATTTCCTATCTCTAATTCGGCACTGGTCTCTTTTAATTCGTCAGTGAGGTTTGATACTTCGTTTGACAACTTATTCACTTCAACATTTAGCGATATTACTTGTTTATCCTTCTCGACAATAATTTCTTTAAGATTTGCAATAAGCTCATCTTTGGAGTTAGTAACATGTCGCAATTTTTCCTCCAGTAAAATCACTTCCATTTTACTTTTGTCCCGATAAGTTTCAAATTCTTTTCTCTCTTTATCAAGGCAAACAGAAATATCATTGAGTTCTGAACTAATGTCCTTAATAGTTTTATCTTTGGTAATAACAGTTAACTCCAATTCAGTGACTTTATTTAATAAACTTTCACTGTGACTAGTCTGTGTCTCAGAGAGATCAGACTTTTCTCTAAGCAATTTTTGTAAATTGTCAACTTCAATTTCCTTCTCTTTAACAATGGTAATGAGCTTAGATTCAAAAGCAAGAATTTCTTCCTTTTTACTTTCCAATTCCCTCAAAATAACGTTATTATTGCACTCAATTTCCTTTAGTCTAACCTCTAGATTGTAAATATCAAGATCTTTTACAATTAAAGCGTTTTCACATTCAACTTTAGCAGTTCTTTCTTTTTCTAACTCGTTTTTTAAATCACTTATATCTATTTCTAAATGCTCAATACGATTGTCAGCATTGGATTTACTTTGAACAAGTTCATCAATTTTTTGCTGGAGGCAATTGATTTCTACGCACTGATTTTCATATCTTTCTTCGTAATCCATTTTAAAATTTTCAAATTCACTATAAGATGTCTGAAATTGAATTAGAAAACTTTGAATTGATTTTTTTGTCCGTAATTTCAATTCTCCACTATAAATCTTGCTGATTTTATACTAAGCTATGTAATCAACACGTGTATGTGACAGTATGTATCAAAACTAGGGCTATCTTTTATATTGAAACATAGGAGCCACAAAACTAATTTACTTTTTCTTCTACAATAGCTTATAATTTCTATGGTCGTGTACAACGGTAAATTAGTAAAGAACGATTTCTTGTGCTTAATTTATACAATAGTAGATTTCTTTTGTTTGAAATGAACACATGATATAAATTTTATTAATAAAAAAATATATAAAATATTTTAATTGAACCAACCACATTAGTAATTTGGTGTATTGTAAGGTAATTAATACATATTATATGTTCGTGTCGAAAATGAGATATAAACATAACTTTTTGACTAAAATTTAGGTGATAATATAAATGTATTATATATCTTGTAATTGCATTTATTCACCTTATCATATCACTTATTTATATGTTTATATATAATACAATGTGTAATTGACGGCATTATATATAAGTTGTTATTTTAATAAATCTATTCAATCTATTGTTATTCAAAAGCTTAAAAAGCACAAGCACCTGAGAATCATATACTAAATCTACGGAAATAACGAAAAATATTGACTATATTCATAGCTAATTATTATTATTTCGACAAGGTAATGTTAAAATGAACATTTAAAATTGAATTGGTTTTCAATTTTAAACACATGCACATTCTGTTAGTAGTTGTTATTGTTTATGCATACTCTAAACCAGTTAATATTTATTAATATTGTGAAGAAAAATACTTACCTCTTTCTCCAACTGATACTGCTGCTTTAATTCTGCTATCTCTCGTATGGCTGTCTCCTTTTCTTCCAGTACTGTTTTAAACTCTTCCCCTTTAGTCTGTGCTATCTGTTTAAGTTCTTCCTTAGTTTTATTTAATTCCGTTTCCTTCTCTTCCTTCTCTTTATGCACCCTCTCGAGGTTTTCCGTGGCCTCTTTCAATTCGTTCGCTAATGATATAACTTTCTCCTGTTGTTCCGTCGTCGCGGTCTTGTGTTCAATTTCTAACGTCTCCATTGCCGCTCTTAAGCTTTCTAACTCTAGTTCCTTTTGCCTGGCGATCTCTAGTTCAGTCCGTAAATTGGAAATCTCATTTTTGTATGCCTCTATCTCTTCACTCGACGAAGCGCTTTGTTGCAGGAGTTCTACGTCTCTGAAAATGGCAAAATAGTATAAGAATAATGATATAGAATTAATGTCAAAAATCCAAATAGTAGACAAATCACCTTCTCCTTCGGAGATAATCCTATTTAATAAAATTATTACACTAAAATTCGGGTGCCTGGAAATTTCGAGCGATAAGACCGTCTATTTTACATGCAGTTTGCTGTGTACATACATTTTACAACTGTCGATTAAGATCAATTTTAATCGACAGTTTTTTTTTTCACTATAATGGGGCAGTTGTTAATGGAGAAAACGTAATGTTTCAATAAATTTAGGTAAACATTAGGCGCTTACTTCATCCTATCGTTGAGCTGTTGCTGAAGCATCGTTTTGGCACTCTCGTGCTGGGCCGCGGCCGCACGTAGACTCGACGCCATTTTGTCCACTTCCGCTTTCTAAATGTATTGAGAAAGACTTGAGCAATTTGTTTTCTACGTTATTATAGCGTTTGTCGTTATTTTATCACGAACCTGTCTTATGAGAGTTATGTGCTCTTCGCGTAGCTGCGTGTAGGCCCCTTTGAGCTTTTGAAACTTTTCGTCTATCACCTTCGCCTTGTCCTCGGTTTCCACCAATTTTTCTGTACACAAGTGTTTAAATAATTAGTACGTGTATAGATTTGGAATTATAACTATAAGAATAGTGATATTAAAATTGCGTACGTTTGATTCCTGGCGCCTCTGCGGACAAAATTTCTGTTTTCTGCCTCTCTTCCTCCAACTCCGACTGCAAAACACGTGAAATTCGTCAATGAAATTATACAAACGTTTATTGTTCGCCACAACTTAACTTCTGTGCAACACGGCCAACATACTCTAACATAGTACCATGATGACGTGATACTAAATCTATTAAAGTCATAATTACTTTTATGGATAATTGAAAAGAGTTCTGTTTTTTCTATTTTAGGTTCAAAGAAATGTTTATTTTCTCAATAGAATATTACAATATTCACTTAAATATAAGAAAATTTTACATAGTACATGTTAAATAACAATTTAAAGGTGTGGATAATCGGAGATTATTGGTTAACTTTCCATTAAAAACATTTTTAATTTTTTTTTTTTGAAACTCGTTAAAGAGGATTTTCATTGTTTAACTGACCAATAATCTTAGTTTTATTGTAAACTAATGTAATAACTAATAAGATGACTGTTTTTCTTTTAAATGACAACTGAGCATATATTTCAAATACCTACATAGATGTATATTCTATTTTTATAAGGGAAAGCAGCAGTGATGTTTGTGATGATGATGATGATGATTTTACCATAGCACTACTATATTATCAGGTTGGACTATCATCATCATCACTTCAGCCAGTTTTAGTCGCCAGATGGACATAGGCCTCCGCCACAGACTACCACGAAGCCCGATCCTGAGCCTGCATCGACTTCCGCACACTTGCACAGGTCGTCACTCCATCTACTGGGAGGTCGTCTCAAACTACGAGGGCCTATCCGAGCCTGCCACTAGAAAACCGCTCTTCCCCATCTTTCGGTTCTTCGAGCTAACATAACAGCCAATTTATTTATTTAAATAAATAAATGAATAAATAAATAACAGCCAATTGCCACTTCAGCTTACTAATCCTCTATGTCGGTAACCTTTGTTCTCCTGCCGATAGCTTAATCCTCTGAGCTATGTCGATAACCTTTGTTCTACTGCGGATATCAAGTTGGATAACAATAAAAATTACCAGTGTCGCTTGGAGTTGCGATTCTAGGCGCGTACAGTGCTCCCGCATAGAGCCAAGCATCGTGTTGCGCTCTTGCACCAGCTGCGACACCTCGGTTCTGTTTTCGCAGAAAGATACGATCACGTTACATTATGAAAATATCTCAAGTAAGTAGTCAAATAGTTTCGGTAGACCCAGTTCGGAAGACTAATAAAATATAAAAAAGGCTCTGGTGTGTATATCTATAGTGTTTTCATCTTTTACTGCCAGCGGCTGATGTGCTGCGCTGGTGAGGTTATAAAGCACAATAACTATGAGAACGGTCGAGGTACCGCATTCGCTTGAGCTCGTTCTGCAGGTGGTCGATGAGGCGGTCGCGTTCCACCACGGGGTCGGGCTGAGGCGAGGGCGTGGCTCGGACATCCGAACACTCCAATATCTCTGAGTGGGATATCTGTAATGTAAAAGTAAAGTCTTCATCAGCCTTTACATGGCCCATAGCTGGGCAAAGGGCTCCCGTACTGAGGATATCAGGTCATAGTCTATCACGCGGCCCCATTGCCGATTGGTGGACTCACAGGTGATAATTCAGCGCTTAAAATTAACAATTTCATTGGTCGTCACAGTTAATGAAAGGCGAGCGCCCGGACACAATCTTAGCTATCACGACTCATAATGGACCGGTTATGTTATGTCGCTCAAAGATCACGATGAAGCCTAGACCATTAGGACTTTTAAGTTGTAGGTCGACGAAATCCACGTGTTGTTAGTTCATGAACTACACTGGTTAAGAATATAGCAACACGGTTATGCAGAATAGTGCCGCTCCCAAGTGTGAGTCGGTAGCTTGTGCACATAAGAATTGCCGAAAAACATAAATATATACTTGGATTTGTACTCTAGAGGCAACGTTATAAAACTATTGTTGTCTGAATATAATATGTATATATTATTTATATTTATGTATAAAGCTGTATATATGTGTATGTGTATGATTCAACACTTGGCCACAATTTTAGTCGTGTGACATGGTATGTTCCGCGCACCTGACTTGTGGTATCCGAGGTGTCTATCAGCGAGCCCACAGAGTCCACTTCGTCTGGGGGCGGCTCGGGAATCGACACCACTGGCGCCACGTACGTGCCAAAGTCGCTCTGTAACGTCGTTGAGACATCAATGGAAACGAGGTAAAATCGAGAGGTGTCGTGAGACAACCGGTTGCTTCGCTGTTTATTACGTATAAAACAGGAAAAATACACACATAATTTAACATACAACACATAAAGTAACTAAACGAAGATGGTAATATGTGTCCTTATAATAGTACTTTGTTTGTAAATAAAAGACATTTAATACAATCGATAACGATATATGGGTAAATGACAATAAGTTCTTAATGGGCGCCTTGGTAGATATGCCTGTGGTCGAAGTTGCTCGCTTTGCAAGCAACTTCATTATTTCGCTTTTTAGCTATCGGAGAGCGCGAATTTTATTCTCATATTTTTTCCATATGCGCCAAAAGAAGTTCAAAAATAAATAAATAAGGCAGTAGGGTTCTTGTTGCAAAAAAGACTTCATTATAGAATTGAAAAAAAAAAACTTGAACACCGTAGAAATAGTGAAGCGTACAAACCTGCAAAAGGAAGTTTGGTGGGTTCGAAGGTAAAACGGGCAGTGTCAGGAGGTTTCTGTAGTATTGGAGACTGCTCGCATGCTTGTAGAAAGAGCTCAGCTTCTTAAACTGCTGCCGGAACCTGTTCGTCATATGAGCAGATACTGATCGGAGAAATAAAATAAAGCTTAGGAAATACTTACATACTTCTTTCTTACTTACCAAGTCGATCTTATCAACTTCTTTTTTGTATAATTATATATTTGTCTTTAAAAGACACTCACACATACATTTATAATTAAGTAAATTTTTAAAAGTACAGTGAGTTAAGTACACTATATTCTCTCTCTTTTCTGAAACTTTATTTACTTTAAGTATCTTTGGTTCACAAGATACTGAAGGCAGTGCTTATCGAAGCATTGACAGTTTCTATTGTCATCGCATCACAAGCTCGCTTTAGGGACATCGGCCGACGTAGTATATTGGAAACTTGTTTATTCCCTAAAAGGAAAAAGAACTTCTGACATGTGTGAACGGTGCAGTGTGTGAGTCAGGTGTATGATAATCCGCGAAATATTATAAATGCGAAAGCAGCGAGGGTGATCATCTCCTTATCCCACCTATGTGGGGACGGCACATGTTAATTATGTTGTGTTTTTGTCTATGCCTGACATCAACCCTCCTTGTGAACAAACACCCGAGATCCGGAACGATCATTTGGGTGACACACAAATACTTGCCCAGTAGAATTTGAATCCATTACCCCAAGCGCCGAAGCCGATAACTTAGCAACTGCTTTAGCGGTGGTAGGGCCTCGCAACAGCCTCGGCTGTTGCACGAATGGGCAGGCCCGTCCGGGTAAGTACCACGACCTCACAGAAGACCAGCGTAAAGTGGAAGTATGACAAATACTTTCGCGTTTCGTCTGGTGAGTCGTAGCCGGAGCCCAATTTTCAAAAGGTTGTCAACGCATCTGTAACCCTCGGGTGTAGCAGATGTCCATGGGCGGCGGTATTCACTTACCATCAGGTGAACCGTCTGCTCGTTTGGCAACTTTTCACATAAAAAAACTGCGCAATGCGTCTATGCTAATATTGGTACAAATTGGCAATTGCAAAACCCAGTGGTGAGTCGTCGTAGTGTTGATAGCTGTATATGTAGCAGTAATGTCAGTTTCTGTGGCCACGTCAGTGGCAGTAGAAATTTCTGTGGCATTTAGATCGTCTGTAGCATTGATAGCGTCTGTTGTAGTGCCGTCTTTGTCAATGGCAGTGTCCGATGCAGTGAGTCTATTGCAATGGTAGTTGCAGCGTCTGTCACAATGGCGGAGACAGTGTTGATGTCCGTGTCAGTATAAACGTAGTGGCAGTGGCAATATCTGTGGCAGTTGCAGTGGCACCGATGCAGTGAAAGTCTATGGCAGTGATAGTCGCTGCGTTCGTCGCAACGACGGAGACAGTGTTGAGGTCCGCGTCAGTGTCAGCGTAGTGGCAGTGGTAATATCTGTGGCAGTGGCTATGGCAGTGATGCAGTGAAAGTCTATGGCAGTGGTAGTCGCTGCTCTGTCGCAATGACGGAGACAATGTTGATGTCCGCTCAGCGTAGTGGCAGTGGCAATATCTGTGGCAGTGGCAGTGGCATTGGCACGCTCACCTCTCCCGGTGGCCGGCGAGCGTGTCCGCGGGCAGCGACGCGTGCAGCCGGAACAGCAGGCGCACGTTGCAGTCGTATATGTGCGAGGAGTCCTGCGCGCACGGGATGAGCGCCGCGAGCCGGCACTGGCCGCTCGCCGTCATCGAGTTGGCGCGCGCGTTGCCCAGGCTCTCGAACACTGCGCACCACGGCCACGTCATCGACCGACACTGACTAATCGAACACTGTGCCACACGCCCGGTTTCTGAAACCCTGATCATCGTGGAAGTCAACTAATCAACTGCCAAATGGCTTTTCTTTTAATGTTATTCGAGTTGCCAAAAGGATTGTTACCTCTTTGAATTGATCATCCTGATCATTAAGAAGATCATTCTGATCAATTCAGAGAGTTTAACAATACTTTTGGCAACCCGAATAACATTTGAAAAGCCATTTGACAGCTGATTAGTTGACAGCTACGATGATCAGTGTTTCAGAAACCGGTCGTAAGTAATCGAACACTGCGTACCACGTCACGTCATCGACCGACTTGCACGTTGACGGATGCAGTGGAGACGGATGCAGTTAGAGTGGAGACGGCGTGCTAGCCTGGCCTAGCTTACGGCCGGTTTCAATATTCTATCTACAAATAGATTTCGTTACTAGCTAATGGTATTTGACATTAGCTACATAAAGCTTACGTCAGTATTCTATCTCCAGTAACCAATTCTATCACTAACCGGCCGTTAGATATCACCTAACATATAACTACGGTAGGCCGAAGGATAACGTTATGGTGTGATGTAAGAATGTATGAATGTAACTTACACAATTTTCACACGGACAAACATTTAGATCTGGAAAAGTTATCTGAGAATCAAACAAGTGATGTGTGGGAATTGCACCTAGGAACTTGGTGCCGAAAAATAGCCTAGCAACTTCTTTTAAGACAAGTCACCTAGTTCTCACGACCTCCATATCTCATAATATCATTATCGTGGAGTTTTTTGAGGCATTTAAAGTGGGTTCAGATCATTATGGTTCACTATTTTCAAAAATTTTCTTAACTTAAAAATTATTTGTTTTTAACAAAATTAATTTTTAACAAACCTGCTGCTTGTAGGTTCAGAATGTCGTCCATGTAGTCAAATAGTTCGACGCATAGCTGGAAACTGAAAAAAATGTTAAAAAGTACTTATTAAGAGGAGAACGTCCTAGCGAATTATAGTATTAAAGTAGAATAAAATAATTACTGATATAATTATATGGGTAATTATAATTGAGCTGTGATGGCTCATTGTTCGGGCACTCGCTTTTCATTGTATATAGTCGAGCCTTCAGACGTTCTTTAATTTACTTTACTGAAATAATTACATTACAAACTTTACTACAGTTTACGTCACAAACAAATAGACAGAGACTTCATGGTATATATTTCACCGACATTTGGTACAGTTAAAAAGAGAGACTCACTAGTTGTTCACGTCATTCTCGGCTATGGCGTCAAGCTCGTCGGCGGTAAGTTGCATGTTGCCGGGGAAGCGAGGGTTGCGGCTGTGGAACTTGAGCTTGCAGACGAGTAGACCGCAGTACAAGTGGATGAGGCGGCCGTAGCCCTCGCGCAAGTGCACCTGCCAACAGCGAGACCTCTCGTCTATCACTTTGTTGAAGTGAAACTTCTAATGCGACTTCCAAAAAGGATGCGTTAAACGTTTAACGCTACCATGGAGGGGGTATGAAAGCTCTGTTGCGTTAAACGTTCAACGCTCCGGGGGATGGGGAATAGAAAGAGACAGAGCGAGAGAGAATGCGTGGCACTCGAGGTTTCACTTCTTCCGCGCGGAGGGACTCCACGCACTTTTTTTATTAAGATATGACAAGCAGGGAGTATAGTTTATGGTGAGCAACCACCGTATAGTTGTAGTGATCAATTTTTAGACTGGGCGGTAATTCCCCGAACCAGAGACCACATTCGTTAAACATCCAAAACTGACGTGCGACTGCCTGGGTGATGCTTTTACCATGTATAAGTAAAAGTAGTTATAATAATAAATATGATTTACAAATAAGTGTTAAAGATTTTGTCAATTATCTTACTATAGTTTCTTTAAAGTAAGAAAATGAAATAATACCTTCGTACAGTAGGTGTAATGTATAAAAAAAGATCGAAAAAAGACTGGACCAAACAAGACGTAAACTAAGGATGAACAAATGAACTGGAAGTGAATTTAATGTAGTAACACCAAAATATCGCTATATGTACTCTTTTGGGAATATTTCACTATGATGGACGAATGAACAATTTCGATCTTGTTCGATCTTCCACTACACGGTTATCTGTGAGATCGTAGCATTTTGGCGGACGGACCTACCCATTCGTGATTTCATTACCGAAATGATTTTACCGAATGATTTTTGTCGAGTTAGGAAAACAGATGGGGAACTAGAATTTTCCGTCCAAGCGTGCGGCACAGAGGAACGCAATAGCGAACCAATATCCATTCGAGTACCGATCTCGGTCAGACGTGTGCGTAGAAGTCCCCACCACACTCCACCTACCCACAGTTTGCCGAGGTTCTCGATCATGCCGATGTGGCGTTGCGAGTCGTCCAAACAGGCGGGGTGGCCCTCGCGGAGCAACTTGTGCGTCACGTGGCAGAACTTCCACGCGACGATGCGGTTGTCCTGCAACGGCTGGCGTATGGCCACCATCTGGAATGGTGAAAACGGTATCACAATCCGCCAGACGCTGTGACTTTGAGTGTATCCTTGACGAACCAATTAACACGTCATGATTACAATAAAATAAAGTACTACAGTTGTGTATTGTCAGTTTGTCTCGATATCATCCAAGCTAGCACGTTCTTAATAATAATGAAGTCTTCATCATCATCATTTCAGCCTGTTTGAGTCCACCGCTGAACATAGGCCACCCCCGTACACTGCGACGAAGTACGATCCTGAGCCACCTACATCCATCGACTTCCCACAAATTTGCACAGGTCCTCACTCCATCTAGTGGAGGGTCGTCCTACACTGCAATGGCCAGTGCGAGGTTGCCACTCAAGAACCTTTGTTCCCCAACGGTTATCGGTTATACGAGCTATATGGCCGGCCCATCGCCACTTCAGATAATACAATAGCTCATATTATTGAGATTTTCTTACATAAATAAAGTATATATCGCAACCACTGCAGATACATTTTTTTTGTATTGAATATTCTGAATTGGGAAAAAAGATGATCTAAATGTAATTAACTTGTTAGGAGACTATGTCTATATGTGAATCTTTTTTTAAGTTCAATCACTTTGGTTTTATTTATTACCATTACTTTTAGATCACCCTTTTTACATCTGTATGTAAATTGCTCGATGAGAAAAATTATTCATTACAACAAAAAAGAGCTGTTTAATTTTCTAATCGTATGAATTAAACGTTGATATTGGACTTTGATGTACGGAAAGTGGGTATTTAATTAGATAGAGCACTATCGACTTAACTTTATTCAATACTAAGTAATTAGTTGATCCAATCTAAATTTTATAAGTAACTCTTACCCAATAGGTGACCGCGCTCTGTTCTTGGAAGGTTCCAATGATCGTACTACGGACATGTTTCTCCTTAACTGGGGTCTCGATTGAATTGATAGCTTTTTGTATAGCTAGGGTCTGTAAAAAGCAGAGAAAATTAGTTAGAAAAGAAACACAGGATAGACAAAGAACCACTTTTAAAATAACTTATAGTCAAAATGCTGGTCAAAAGTAAGCACAATTACGAAAATGATATTTATCTGAAAGTTCTAAAAACTGCAAAATGTTAATAGACTGTAATTGTTTGTTTATGATTGAATTGTTTGTTATGAGGTTTTTGCAATTTTTTATTTGAATCCATGGTTATAGTTTTGTGCACTTTATAAAGATGATTACAGCCATAGACCGGACAATAAAACGAACAGACAGAAACAAACAGGACGGTCATCCCTATAGATAATTGATGACTCCGTCGCGGAGTTGCCAAGGTATTGGCTTCGGCGTCGGGAGTCGTGGATTCGATTCCCACACGGGACAACTATTTGTGTGACCCACAGATAGATGTTTCGCATCTGGATGTTTGTCCACTTGAAATTTATGTTTGTAAAACGTCCTATCCTGTAATAATCTTATCCTGTGTTGTAAGGCATATATATATATATATATATATATATATATATAGTTATCCGTTCTAGGAGTTGTTTGATCCAGCGTTACGTATGATCAGTTTTTTGTTGATCCGCTTAAATTTGTTGATCCAATACCATATGTATGTGATTTAGTGGCTCCATTCGGATCAACAACTTCTCGTCAATATATTTTTGAAAGTAGCTACAATTTATACAAATCCACTCCGTACTTATTTGATCCAATTCAAACGGACGAATCACAGATCACAGCAGCATTCATTGGTTGAGATCATCACTTTACGTCAGTGCCTACTTATTAAGAAGAATTACTGTATCTCGTGAATGTGATATTTGTTGAAATACATGCTTAAAGGGCCAGCAATATCTAGCGCTCGCGCACTTTTCTGATTCACGTGCAACATTATATTTTAATGTAAATTCGTTGCGCGCGTGATAGATTATTTAAGAATTTACATATAATAATTAGTAAAAAAATATTTGTATCAATACTCAACAGTTAATTATTTAATTCACGTAGGTATAAAATGAATGCTACTACTTCAATACTTAAAAAATAATGTTGAAGAATAAATAAGACTTGGTGTTCTAGTCGTATCTTCAATAGTTTATAAGTAATTTTAATAGCAATGGAGAATACCTGATAGGTAACAACAAGTCCAAGTGTACAATAATTTTAAAAATTATTTAAAAAACAGAAAAATAATAAACAAAATTTTTCGTAATTCGTTTGTTTATAAACAAGCGTCTGTTCACAAAACCAAAAAATGAATTAAATTATAATTTTTTTATGATGATGACGTGATAAATTATGATTTTAATAAAATGGTTCCATAATGTTAAAACTAAGCAACAAAAAATTGTAATTTGGAAAAAGCGTTTTTAGCAGTTAAAATTTTTTTTCTTAAATGTCATATTTTCATTAAGCATCATATTCCTAAAAGAAAAAAAATTAAAATCTTATAAACAATTTATTTATTTGTAATAATTACAATTCAAGTAATTTTTTTTACAGGAACAGAATAATCAAAAAATTTATAAAAATCTTGATTGTTTTATTAACGTTTTTCGTATTTCAATGCCTTAGATTGGTAATAAAACAATTAAAAATTAGAATTTTTTTGGCAATCTTTTCTAAACTTTCTTTCAAGAAGTGACAAAAATATTCTGGGTTAGACTACATAGAAATAATCTTAATTTTTTTTTCGTCGTATTATTATTTATTCATGTGTCTAGTAAGAACTATATTTTTTATTCCTTAATATTCTATTTTATTTGGTTAAAATAATCTTTTAGAGTTCCGTACCCAAAGGGTAAAACGGAACCCTTATTAGATTATGTATTTCTCTTGTGCCATATAAAACCATAATTTTCTTTAAATAAATTAAACTTTTATTCTTTAAAAAAATAAATTAAACAGGTTTTCGTTAAAAAAGCACTTGTCGACTAGACTATAAGCAAGATTACATTTAATAAAAATCACTTACTTTTCGCTCAATTCTTTGAGTTACCCTTTTGATGTAAATATTTGTCCGATAAATCGCACATTATCTCCTAACTAATCTAACTTTAACCCACTGAATAGCACTAGCTTAAATAACACTATTGATTACATAATAAATAATAATAATTTATTCTCTTGTAACGAAACTCATATTTGATAATGAGTAGAGCAATGACTTGTACACAAATTTAACAGTTAAAATAAAACTAAAATATTGTCATCCTCGTCTCTTTAAAGAAATTTTCACACTACATCATTTGTTGCATTACATTGCGACAGTTGTTGATCCGTTTCCTAGTGCAATAGTAGCAATATATTGTACAACTAGCTTGCGCCCGCGGCTTCGCCCGCACATTATATTGTGCTTAAAAATACCTACGGAACCCTTCGTGCGCAACTCCAACTCGCACTTGGGCAATTTTTTTAACTTTATATAAACCATCATTTTACAGACCATAGTTAACTATAGTTTCATCGCACAAATCTACAATGTGGTTCTTTAAGTTGATATAACTATTTTATTTATCATCCGACTTAAATAAAACTAACAATAAATGTTAAGAGAAGCTTACTACAATGTATTTGTAAAAGTTGCACTGAAATCGGAAAGGCCGTTTTAGCCAAGTTAGCGCAAAGACAAACAGATAAACAGACAATAATTTTAACTATCATTGTTTTGGGTTCTACTGCGTTGATAAAGGCCCCTAATAATAGTTTTTCTCAAATATCTTCCATGTACAAACAACAATCAGTTAAATTTTTATTAAATGTATGATATTCTTTGAGCTCATAGTTCGCCGCCGCGCCAGTTGCTTAAATCAACTCGGGATAATATTTGGATGCCTACTTAGGAGTACAGCATTTTGGGCTTCACCTCAATCGAATTAATACAGGCTGCACGTGCTAACAAGCATAACAACAAAACTATACACTTTATAGTAAGTAGTTATTTTGATAATGTCCCAAGGATTCATTAATATCAAGCGATAATATCTACGATATTAAAAATATTTATTCACTAGCATCCTTTGGTAAACTAATTAATACGAAGTAGGGTATAACCATCTCTTTGTCAATTATATTTGTCTAGGTTATTATATTTTACTTATTATTTTACTTATATTATTTTACGGTGGTAGGGCCACGCAGCGGTCTCGACTGTTGCACGAATGGGCAGGCTCATCCGGGTAAGTACCACGACCTCACAGAAGACCGGCGAAAAGTGGAAGTATAATACTTTCGCGTTTCGTCTGGTGAGTGAGGTGGCCGGAGCCCAATTTTCAAAAGGTTGTCAACGCATCTGCAACCCTTGAGTGTAGCAGATGTCCATGGGCGGCGGTATTCACTTAACATCAGATGATCCGTCTACTCGCTTGGCAACTTTTCACATAAAAAAAAAAAATATTCGACATATAGTAACAGTTTACTCAATAGAAAATGTACATGGAAATTTAGTTCTTATTACAAACACTGTGGAATTAATGTTACGAACACTGACGTCGAGCTACGTATGCGCGCTCACAGGGATCAAGAAATGTTTAAAAAGTGCCTGAGAAAAAACCGTTACGCGGAGCCACAAATACTTTGGAAAAGTATAAAACAACGGTTAGAGTATATTGCTGATGTCTGAGCGACACAATACGCTGTTGAAATATATGCTTTCCGGCCTTTAAAATAAAGGTTAAGGGCAAGTAAATTTGGACAGAAAGGTGGATCAACAAAGTACTCTTTTAATTTTGCTGGATCAAACAAGTTATGGAAAAGGACTATATATATATGTGTATATATATATATATATATATATATATATATATATATATATATATATAAGAATCTCGGAAACGGCTCCAGCGATTTTCATGAAATTTAGTATGTGCGTAGATTCGGGAGCGAAAAATCGATCTAGCTACGTTTCATTTTTAGAAAATGTCCTTTTATCCCTGTTTTCAGGGAATGAAAAATATCATTCGAAGATGACGGTAAATTTCGCCGCAAAAAAAAATGTTATAATAGCTCGGTCGGTAATCGGGCTGCCCCAAAATAGACAGCCGCGGTTCGTATCACCATCATTTACACACTTATTTTTTTCTATACCAGATCATTTTATTTATTTTTTATTTTTTTTTATTTCCAAAATACATGATTTACCGAAAAAAAATCCGAGCAGAGCTCGGTCCTCCAGGTACTGTTATCCTAAAGGAAATGTTTTTAAAAAGAAAAAACAAAAAAATTAGCGCAATACTAACATTGGATATGACATTTTAAGTAATTTATATAATATAGACAGCAACGCATGTTGCAACGAGTATTTCTAGTATAAATGTATTATTATATAGTCACATATGCGAGGGTAACGCTGCCACATCAGCAGTGATCTTTATTAGCGTCTGCATTTCCGTATCCGCGACCTTCTGACGCAAACCATTCTTTCAATGCCTTCGGAATTAAAATCGTGAAAGCTTTGTTTTTCTTTTCTAGTTTAAAAATTATTTCAAACATGTGACTGCTAATTCAAGACATGGAGAATACCAAATTGCTTCGACAGCAAACGTTGTTCTTTTCTTTTGGTTTTGTTTTTGTGAAAGCTAAAGACTGACAGGATTAAAAGCGCAGGTCGCGCGTAATATTTAAGTTACATTACTAAATTGACCCGCTAACTATAAAGCTATAAAAATTAAGTCTATTAAAAACACTCACGAGCGGATTAGTAGTTATAGTTACAGCAATACTTTAAATGAATATTATTTCCCAATTTCATTGATATTTTTAAATCAAGTTTCCAAAAAATAAGGCTTGAAACACAAATTCGGCGTATAAAAGCAGTATTCATTCTTACCAATAACGGACCCGCTATTTATAGAAGCTTTAAACTTGGCTACGATTAATATCAGCTTCGTAAATAACGGTGTATAAAACATTTAAATTGAGAACAACTGACAACGAGTAAAACCGTGGGGCCTTGTGGAATACGGCATCGTATAAATATG